AGGTCCCCGTGCATGTGGCTGCAAGAGCTTTGCCAAAATCACATTTTGTCTGCCCAGCGACTAAGTGTCGGACCGGTGTCCATAACCCTGGTACAAAAAAAAGAAGCTGTGGCAGTTGAATCCAAAAGCAACAAGAGAGTGCTATGCAGAAGGGGGATGGAAATTGACAGCAAACTACATGCGATACTGCAAACGTCCCTCCGAGCCACTCTGCCTTGGCCTTTCCCTCCGGCGCGCGCTACTCTCTGGGCTGCCAGCCGCCGTTGTGAACACGAAGGGCCCTGGGCCACAGGCCCCTCTTTTCCGGTGGCAAATACCCCCAGGCGATTCCATGGAAGCTCCCGAACGGACTTTAGAAGACTTGGCGGAGCCCGTTGGGAGCTTCCGTCTGTTAGTCTGAGTGTAGTAAGGAGCTTCGTGGCATCGAATAACTCCGAGAAACTGAGGGATGCAGCCTCGATGCCGATGCCCTGCCTTACCTCTGCCAACAGCCACTAAGGTGGAACAAACACCAGTGGGCCGGGTACCCAGGTTAGTGGGGAATCACAACCGTAGCTCATCGCAGGGCGCCACCTGGTGTCGAAAACAAAACCATAGCGTGGCCCCCTGGATGCCGACTCAAGATGGAATTCTGCTCGAATTTTCCTGGGACATCCCTGGAAATAAGTACTGTATCACGTGTGGAAGAGGGGCTTCGGAAAACATCACCCCTTGCAAAAGACCGGTTTCCCAAACATATCCGAAATAACATCGTGTGCTGAAGGTTCCATCGAAGAGCAGTCGAAAGCCCCGGACCGCCTGTGCAAATAGTGATAGCGAAGATCGTGAGGAGGAAGATGGTATCGCAGGATCTGGGGAAAATGCCTTGGCTTGAAACAGCCAAGGCTGACGAGGCTGACAAGCCCACCTGACTGCCTAGTTCTTCAAAATTGAGACACAAATTAGGAAGCGCCTCTCCGACTGACTCTCAAGGAACCGTAGAAGCAATGACCTGGGCATAAGTATGGCAAGCACCTATTTGCAGCACGGGGAGAAACCGTCCAACTGTTTCCTTCACGAATGCAAGGCTAATAGGTTATTACAGTGCATTCCCTACTGACAAGAAGCAAGTTGCCGTCTTCCAAGTGGCTCGCGCAGCCTGTGGGGAACGCCTGAATACCTCGAGAGGAATATGAGACCTGCTAGGCATCCATCCACTAAGCACCAGCCAGCTGACTCGAGCTCGGTCTTGTTCGCTGAGCACAGTGTGCATGCAGCTTGGCCACGGTTTGAGATTCCCTTTTTCAACGGGTTGGAAGCTTGAAGGGGGAATGAAGGCGGGCTATAGCCGGCATCTTCTAGCGCATTCTCTGGAACATCGATGTGCAATGAGCACCTGACGCTGACACAACACAAGGCCGACCCGATACCGAACGAGGTTTAGTTTTGGGCGCAAGCTTTGGTTTTCTTGACCACTTTTGAACTTGCCCTGCAGTGGCCATGAGCAAAAGGAACCCCTCCTGTTGGTGGTTGATCTTCATGGGCAACCCAAACAAGAAACACCGCTGGCACTGGAAAACTGAGTAGCACCAACCGTTGCGGAAAAGCAGCCCCCGGGCCCGTGCTAGGGCATAGGCCAGATCCATCCACCGGAACTCCTGGTAGGCCTCAAATGTCGACGGAAACAACACGTGTCGTCAAGTCAGCCAAGAGGAACCTGCCAAACGGGACATGACACCAGCACATGGGAGCCCCCAATTTTGCACACACTCACCACATAGCTGCCAAAATGCCTCAGTGTCTAACATAAGCTTCACTCCGACATTGTGTTGCATGGTAAGCAGGTTGCAACAGAGCCCCACACTACACGATGTATCATAGGCACCGGGATCTGCCAACAAACTCCCCAATCTGGTCAGGGATAAGTTGCCAACACAGTCCGTCCAATTAGTCACCAAGTGCCAGCGTATCCATCCGTGGCATCCTCCCATGCATGGAATCTGACTGGGTGATGGAACACAAGTTTCCCCCAAGGAACCTCTGGATGTGTGTCGATTCTTGGAGGGTACCCATTTTTTCTTTTAGAGGAACCCCGAAGTGCTATTTTGGGTGGTCCCCCAAAAAAGGACACACCTCGGGTGGGTTGAATGTCAAATGGGAGGGAAGTCCGGCTCTTTTTAGTGCAGCTGAGCGGCGCCAAAAATCTCGCACAAAGTTCCCCGCATTTCTTTGCATGCGGCAAATGGTCTTGGCGACGGCTTCTTTGTACCAGTCGCCCACCTGGCCGAGAAATTGTCAGAGCTGCAAGCGGCGGAAGGACCTGCAGTCTCCATCACCCTTTAAAAATGGTGTCATTACCCAAAATAATGGGGTCATACACCCATCTTTACAAGGTCATGGAGAGTCCAGGGAGTTATTCGTTTTGCCGCAGAAGTCGACTGCACTTGTGTCCCTCTCGCACGCAAGCGCAGGCCAGCGAAAGCCAAAAGCCATCAGGCATTCGGTTTGTAGCAGTCCAGCAAGATTGGGCGAGGTTGGATGTTTCCTAGGTTTTTTAGTGAGGTTAGAATAAGGGTACCCTTTTTTCTATAGTCTGTTTTAGTAGGGGAATTTTTGCCCCCAAAGTGTAAAAGGGCACTGGGGGATCTCGTTTCTCTGAACTCGGCATGGAGAATCGGCATTCCACGTGTACGCGGCAGTCCGAGAGATCCCTCCCCAAAGCAACCCTGCAACCCCACCCAAAAGGCCATGGGTCAAAAGACAAATCGGTTAACCCCAGTGAACATCCCAATCCAACCACTAAAATAGGTCCTAAAATGGGTGGCGAACCTACCCCAAGATGGTACCATTGGTTTTGACCCACAGCCAAATAGATCCGGGCCTCCTCAGCAGATGCTGGGCTTTCTTGGGTGATGATATGGCTGGCAAAGGAGCTCAGAAGGTAACCTCCTCCTGACACAGCCGCGATGTACCTCGAGGCCATGCCAAATGTGTGCGCTGGGTGCGTTTGGTGCAAGTTGGGAATGAGGGCTAGCTGGAAGCCCAGAAGTACTCTGTTCTCTGGTCTATGCACTGCCTTCCGGGCATGATCTGATTGCTCTGTCAATGGTTGCCAACCCTCAGACCAGCAGTGTGCCATACCCACACACACTCAAGGCAAAGTAAAGCAACCCCCAAACCACAAACTAAACTACAAAAGCACTAGATTTCACGACGTGGGGCACTTTGAATGTGGGGCATGTTTTGCAAGAAATGCCAACGGCAAGGCGCCTCTTTTCCGACTAGTTGGGCGTCCCGGATGCATTACATCAAACATCAAACAATCAGAGATTCTGAGGAAGGCCCTGCCGAAATCTTCGTGCATCTTGCTGGACAGAAATAAACTTAGTGGACTGAAACATGGGATACACTCTCCCCACTCCAAATACTTTTTTTTTTAAGGGTACGATGTGGACCCTTACTAAAACAGGAGGTATTCATTTTTAAAAACCGGGTTTTCCAAAAAATACCCAAGAAAAAGTTGGTATTTGGAGTAGGGGGTTAGTTGACCATGACCCTTGCCTACCATCCTCTTGAAAAGGCCCCTTGTCCACATTCATGATTGTTGGAAAGAGGATACCTATCCCACCACAGTCTCTCTTTTGGGCATTCAGATCTCGGCCCGACAATCGGCTGGGGCCCCTGGCTCAATGTCCTGAGCGGACGGAAGGTCAAGTTCAACATGGTGGAAAGAGAAAGGGGCCTAAAAGGGGTGTGTGTGTGTGTGTGTGTATGTCTTATCTTGAGGGTACCCATTTTTGGTTGTTTCAAAGCGAACACCAAAAGGAAAGCCAGCATTTTGGCAACTCCCCCCCAAAACAAACACAGACACTCAGGGAGTCCGTTCATTTTCCCGAGGTCTACAAGAAAACCCTGTTTGGCTCAGAAGGTGTGCCAAAGGTCGAGCCTCCACGAGGCCAGCCTCCGCGAGCTGCCAAAGTACCCCAGACCTCGGGCAATTTGACTTAGACTCGTGACTCGGGCCGATTCATCACTCTTGGAGGGGAACACCCACATATGGCCATGGGTCAAAAGCCAAATCGGTTAGCCCCAGTGAACATCCCAATCCCCACTAAAATAGGTCCTAAAATGGGTGGTGCACCTACCCCACAGTCAATCACGGGCCAAACACGTCATGCCTGCAGGACCCATTGATACACAAAATGCTTGCTGGAGCTTTTTTACACACTTTTTGGATTTGCGCCCGAGTGGCGGAAATTGCATCCGCGCAGCGGGAAATTGAGCGAGTTGGGGGTGCGTTTTCTCTCGAGCACTTCACCCAAGCAGCTAGGCAATCTCAATTTGAGCAGAAAAAGGCGGTCGAATGCCAAAAACTGCCCGGAGCACTTTTTTGTGCTAAGAAGCACGGAAGTTGCTCTTTTTGACAAGCCCTGGCATTAGCCCAGCCCTGGCACAGCCTGGCGCGCACGCAAGAGCGACATTTCAGTCTACAATTCAGGGTGGGGTAGGGTTAAAGGTTAGGGATTAAGGTGGGCCACAAGTAGGTTTGGGGAGGTCTAGATGGACTAATTAGGATGGGTTTAGGATGGGTTGGGGCCAAGCTTAGGTTTAGGGTGGTTTTAGGTTTTGGCGTCTTAGGGTGCTTACTTGCTTGCTTGCTTGTTTGATGGCGGCACAAAAGATATCCGAATCCGCAGTGCAAATACTCCTAAATCAAATTAGCACCCTGAGAGAAACACAACGCCAATCAAAGAACGTTGCCTGACAAAGGTGCAACGTTGGGTGAATTCGGCGCCACCATCCAGCTAACCTGGAGCCCCCACCATGGATGGTCTGGGGAGTTAGCTGAGGGCTTGGAGAGCCGCAGTGAACCCCAGTAACCCCCAAAAGTTCTTTGTAATACTGTAGGTCAGTGATATATGCCAACATTTGCAGGGTAAATGTGGGTAAAAATACTCATACACGGAGGGAAAGGTTTGCTACCAAGCAGGCTCCCAGCTGCTGACACGTTGGGCCCCAGCTGAAATGCGGCGGCGCGAATACCACCGCCGGAGAAGGCGAGAGAAAAGCGCTGGCGCTTGCCTATCAGAGGCTTGGCTCAGAAAGGGGACACCCCCTTTTGGAAGCGTTTCGAATCTGGAAGGGACAAGAAGACAAGCAACCACTTCGAGAGGGCCCCAAAACTAAAACAAACCCATAGCAAGGAGCAGGAGCGTCCGACTACTTGTGAAAACACTTCAGTCAAAAGCAGTTTTCTTCGACATTCATCACAGAGGCACACGCTTGGCCAAACAAACATGGTCTCACATCTGAATCACAGATCTAGGGCGAACGTTGCTTGACAAAATCGGGCGAATCGCATCGCTTGCGGAAGTGGCCGAGTGAGATGCCGCCAGAAGCAGCTGCAAGGCAACTTCTCTATTCCGCGCTCAAGCGCTTGCTGAATTTCTCAATAGGCAGACGAGGCCAAGCTAAAAAATAGGCATTGATGTTTGCGAGGATTGACTTGCACAAGCAACCGCTCCGGCACGCTTGAATGATAGTTGCGTATGCATTTGTGTTGTTGCATTATGACATGAAAGCGACAAACAGCTGTGCCAAATCATAAATAGCGTAAACCAGTTGTTCCAAGTCTGACAACCACAATTCCCGGCTGCTTCCTCGGCGTTGGCACGTTTTTACTTCGAGCTGTGCTCCTCTTCATTCTAAAACTCGAACGGCAACCGGACGAATCGTAGCTTGTGTGAGACATGCCGTGTTTTTGCCCACTGCCTATTCGACACGCGGGCGAAAACGTGCACACGCGCTCGGTCACACATGACTATTTAAATTGGGCTTGAAGTAGGGGACCACGAGAATCACAAGTCTCTAGGAGTTGATCCCCCATTTTTAACCGTCGTTCTTCTCAAACACCATCGATTTTTCCGGGAGATGTCCAGAAGAAAACAGGATTTATTGAAATTGAACGGGTGAGCTGTGCCTCGAAAAAGTTCACACCACAGGGGCCCCCCCCTCCCACACTGCGAACCTCGCCAGCCGGTTGCTTCCCTCGCCCTGATCTTCTCCTGGATCAGCTTCTGCTCCGCGGCAAAGACCTGGCCGGATGCAGCGAAGAAGTCATATGGGAAGGTATCCAACATATTAGGTTGTTCAAAACTAGTTTTCATTTTCTTGTTTGTCTTTTTCTTGTCTTTTTCTTGTTTTTTATTTTAAGAAACTTGGGTTATGCGGGTTTTAGTCTTTGTGTGCACTTGCGAAGGGGTCGCGTGTACCATTTCTGGAGCCATATGGCCTGTTTTCAAACCTGCCAATCTTTCAAGATCCCAAAAAGGGCCTAGCTTTGACCAGCAAGGGTCGCCCGCACTGGCTGGTGACTGAGACTCTACGTCTCAATTTGCCAGGGTTTGATTGCGTGTCGCAGGCGCAAGCATCTGGCTCAGCATTGAATCAGGCTGAGAAGGAAGCTGACAGAAAATCACTCGCAAGGCAAACCTACTGGCATGCAGTGATGTTGCTTTTGTTGGGGACCCCCAAAATGGGGGTGTTCTTGTTGGTTTGCCCTTAAAAACCAGCCAAAAGGGGATCCCAAGACACAGACAAAATAGATGATATACTCTCCTCTCCACAAACATGGAAACTGACTGAGGGGTCCTGGAAAACTACCCTCTGGTGGGCTCCATGTTGGTGGACAGGGTATCTAATCTGCTGGCTCGCCGCGGCCACTGGCCAAGTGAGCCAGGCGAACCTACCAACCACCCCATCAAACCTGATTACTCTGCTTGCCATTGGAGCCCCGGCGCCTCCATATCAGTAGCTTGCCACATGCCAAACCGCCAAGCAACGGGACTATTCTAAACCGAAGACCACAACCCACCAATCCAAAACAGGAAGAAAAGCGAGCAACCTGACTCAATACCTGGCAATTGCCGCCGGATCGATGATCTCACAGGTTTGGCGAAGCCATTTGACCTGTCACTTAACAGGATTTTTAAAGGATACATCCAAAGACCACCCTCTCTACAGGGGGAACCTAAAATCAGCTGGTAACAAGTTGTTTGTTTGGTTTTCGACTGGCCCGAACGTATCCATGGGACCCTGTTTAAGGATGAACCAGCTTTCCCGGAGGGGTTCATGGCCTGGCGATTGAATTTGACCCATGCACCCTCCCAAGGAGCCCAGTTTGCAAGCCGTTGGATCCTGATGCAAGCCCGTTTTTTGGGGCCTCGTATGCGTTGGATGGGCAAAGCAGACATGGGCTCTCGACAGAGTCAGCTGTAGAAGTTCCATACCCAATGGGTCCAAGCCTTCTAGGGAATTACTTCGATAGCTTTGAGGCTTTAAGTCAGCCTTTCAGGATTGTTTCAACTGCTTGCATGTTTTCTGCAAGCTGTTCATTGGAGCAGCCAAGCGCGTGGCACGCTGCAAAACTGTCAGACCCACTCCGCATCGTGTTGCCTCCTTCTTCTAACTCGTTGCAACATGGCAATGGTCTATAACCATGGACAGTCTCCTTTACTTTTGGGGAGGGCACCTCCCAGTTACTTAAGTGACACAATCCAGGCCTGCCGTGTTTGAAGCCGGAAAACCCTACGCAGTGCACGGGCTCACGCCTCTTCCCAGGTGTGGTAGCGATCCTGGACAAGCTGGCATGATTCAACAAACGTTTTACAGTTGCTTCAATCGAGTTGAGGAATCACCATGGCTCGCCGATCTTGGAACAGGGAAAGGCCTTGAAGATGGGGCGCGGCATGGTTGACTGTGAGGGGGCGGTGTCCTCGGTCTGCCCATATAGCTCGGTCCATTTCTTCTTTTTTCTAAAGAAAAACAGGCTGTAGTGACAAACAGAACGATGTGACAAGGAGCATACCAAGAGAAAACCGGGAAGACATCAAACAAATCTCCTCAATACCAGCCACGTGGCCAGTCATTTGCTCACAGAAGAACAACTCCGACTACGTTCATGTTCATGTCATGCACTTCCCATTGGTATGAACCTCCTGGAAACCCATATGTGACGTTTTTTTCTGTCCATACGGCTTGGGCCACAAAAAAATGACCATACGGTTATTTACGGCTTTTTGTCAACAATTTGTTGAAAAAATACGGGTTGCATACGGCCAAATACGGCCACCGGCCAGCAAAAAATGACCATACGGGAAAAATGATCCAAATACGGGTTCCGTCCAAAAACAAACGGCCATACGGCTTTCCAGGCTGATAATCAAGTCTGTGGCATCACAATCAGCCAACCTGGGCAAAGGTCGATAGCAATCACACACATGACACAAGGCAATGAATAGCCCTGGAACTCAGGGACTGTTTAGGGGCAAAGGGGATAGTATATGCCCAACCGCAGTAATCATAACGTGCAATAGAACTAGTTGGGACGTGCGCTTTTTTTTAGGGGCTCTACAAACCATGATTGAGAATCGGACTTTTGCCCGAGTTGGGGCTGGGAGTATGTTGAGGGCCGTGGGTTTGAAGAACCCTCATGACTCATAACAGGAGGTGCATGCTGACAAAACAACAAACAAAGAGCATCAAGCGAATCTACCGAGCCTCAAGACGCATCTACTTGCGATGGCACATGACCTGCACACACCTCCAACTGGGAGTGTTCTACAATTCGGTACCCCTTTTTGGATGGCGAGCAAAGATCTGCCTATTTATTTTCGTTGACACGGCGATCATGATGCGAGCGAAATCCGCGCCTGTGCGTTGTCTAGGAGCTCCTGCAATGGGTTCGACTGATTTCGTGAATTGCCATGCAAGCAGTGGCAACAAGTTGAAACGCTGAAAGACAACGCACAAACAAACGAGCGCGCAGTGGACCAGCCAACGGCCATTGCTCCGCCTCGAGTCTGCCTTGCGGCTAGCAAAGTTTTGCAAAACGCTCAGAACACATTCTATCAATGCTGACGTGGGCAAGTTGTTGCGTGCTTGAACATCTCCGTGTCTGCGTGCGCCTGTCATTTCACACGACAAACGAGCGTGGCTGACAGGATCCACTAGTCTATCCTGCCACGATCTATAAAACACAAACGGCTGCTTGGGGGCCTTGGGGCCTCGGTTTTGAGAGGGCAAATGGTCAGTGTCTGGGACAAGGACAAGGATCATGCTGAGCCCTTTTCAAACGACAACCTTGTCCTCTTGTCAAGCATAGACAGAGTTGGACCAAGCGAGTGTTCTTTAGTCCTTCTTGGTAGGACCCCTCTCTTCAACCAAACATCAGGATGCTGCAACCTGAGATGGCACTCAAAGTGCTGTTCTTAAAATCAGAGTCGAAACTGCACTGGCAACGTTTTTGCTTGACGGGGGGAAGCCTCTTCCAGTTGTGGGATCATCTCAAAGTACTCCGATCCATGAGCCTTTCAACCTTTTGTTTCCCCTTGTCTGCAACGGCCTTAGACCTTCACACTCCAACGGCATCCAAGGCATCTTCTTATTTTGTCACTTGATTCAGCGAATTGTGCTTGCTTCATGTCCAGCTTGAGTGATGAGTGTACATTAAAAACACACAAGACACCTCGCGAGGATCCCCATCAGAATCCAAGCCGCCTGTGCGGCCGTAGCAGCCTCCAATGACGGTTTCAAATTGTCTGTCCCATGTCCCAGGTCTAAAACCCAGAAAGGTGTTGAAGATTGATATACGAATGAGGAACCGTGTGGCCATTGTGGCAATGAAAAGCAGTCCTTGGCGTGATCGGGGTCTTTTTGTCATTGTTCCGTTTGCTTGCCCAAGCCGCCTGGAAAAAAAAACACAGTAGTGATAGATTCCCTATAAAGCAACCAAGAAGGGAAACAAACAAATCATCTTAAGCAAGTGGAAGTCATTCACTTTCCACAGCCCAACCTGCGTCCAATCTCCTGCTCGTAGCTGTCGATCTCCTGCTGCAGCTTCTGCTGCCAGGCATCTGACACGTCCAGCATCGGCTCCTGGCGCAATGACAACTACCATCAGCCGGGATCCCAAAAAAAATCTTCTGGTCCTTTTGGGCTTCCAACTTTGAACCTCATTCAAAAGACCCTCTCAAACAAACATCAGCACCGCATACAAGTCGTGTTCTTTCTGCCTGGATGCGAATCCCCGTCAACGGCGATGCTTCAGGCTGAAGGCTTGGGATCCGAAAACCGGAAGGCCGAAGCCTCACGAACGAGAGGTCCTCCAGTCGAAGGAGCTTAGAATAAGTTGGTACCGTTTCTGTTGTTTCCTATAGTCTATTTTATTAGGGGACCCCCCAAAAAAAAAGAGGTAAACGGGCACTACTGGGGGACCTAGACGTATAGGCAAGCTGAGAGAACGCTTGGCCAACGGCAGTTCAAGCTCCCTTGGATCGACTCAATGTGTCCACGCCCCAGGCGCCTTTTGCACGGGCATGGTCGGAAAGAGATCATGCACCGCAGAGGCCGATGTGCTCCGCAACTCTCCAAGACGTAAGCTGCGTCACAGGGCTTTGCTCAACTTGCCACTTCCACCATCCGTGCCGCTTGTTCTGCGCAAAAACTCAGCACAGCTTCGTGTTTCAATCTGCAGGACCATCTGTGGGAAATCGGATTCTACAGTTGTACGCGAAAACAATCGACTTGTTCGTTAAAAACAAATGCCTTTTCCGTGGATGCTTTTAAATCTGTTTCTGGCGCGCCCGGCCAGGAGCCTGCATGGCTGCATTCGGCAACCCGCATGAAGGCTCTTTTGACGCTATCCATTTTGAGGTTGGTTTGAGGGAAACCAGAAGGACAGCCGCCGTTGTTTGGGTCGATTTTGAGACAACCCCATGCATGCCCTTCCAGATCAGAATACCACATTGTGTCATGGCGCTTTCTGTCGCATCATGAGCATGAAACACGGTTGACCTCATTGTCAGCGGCGGCAAAGGGGTGCTCTGGCAAACGGCGCTCGCAACTTGGCCATGGTTCCCTTACTAGAATTCTCTATCGTGCCAAACTCCCTATATATAAGGGTGTCTTTGACCATCCCCGAGCCGAAGTGTTTCAGGAGTTTTGGCCACATATGCACATTAGAGCGTTCAACTGGAAGAATCGAATACGACTGCAAAACCATGGGCAGCTTCGTCTCGGGCAGTGCTAGAATGCCCTACAAGCCCCTTATCTGCTAGAATTCCAAAAAGCGTAGGCCAACGCCACACAGTCCCCAAGTGTTCCAAACCACAAGCCCCTGATTTTATGCTCGGCGTGTGCCTTGGAATGAACTGCTGGCTCCGAGTCATGCAACTATAGGATTTGTACGCGACCGCTTGGGTATTCACCTGGTGCCAACCTCCAGAGGTCGTCCCCAGCTAAATGGTGATCTCTTTTTCCCCAACAGCTGAAAGCTTTGGGGTCTCAGTGATTTTTTTTAGGGGTCTGTAACGCGCGACGCGCCACAAATCTTTTTACGGAGGTCTGTAACGGAGGTCCTTGTTACGCAGGTCTGTAACGGGAAAACTTTTCCTGACAAGCAATATCAGTAGCACAATGTAGCGCAGCACAACAAGGTATGCAATGGCTATGTAACAAGGTCTGTAACAGGCAAAGCGAAGCGCAGGACGCAAAGCGTGCCTCCGCAGCTCCAGCTTGATTGCAGCTACTCAACACAAGCCAAGCTGCGGCAAAAAAAAGGGTCGCTGGCCCGGGCTGGGGTCGGGTCTGTAACGGCTATGTAACGAGGTCTGTAACGAGGCAAGGCGAAGCGCAGTACGCAAAGCGCGCGTCCGCAGCTCCAGCTTGATTGCAGCTACTCAACACAAGCCAAGCTGCGGCAAAAAACAGGGTCGCTGGCCCGGGCTGGGGTTGGGTCTGTAACGGCTATGTAACGAGGTCTGTAGCGAGGCAAAGCGAAGCGCAGTACGCAAAGCGCGCCTCCGCAGCCCCAGCTGGGCCGGGGTTGCGTCTGTGACGAGGTATGTAACGGCTGTGTAACGAGGTCTGCAACGAGGCAAGGCAAAGCGCAGGACGCAAAGCGCGCCTCCGCAGCTCTATTCAACGCAAGCCAAGCGCCAGCAAAAAGCGGGGTCGCTGGTGCCCGGGCTGGGGTTGGGTCTGTAACGAGGTATGTAACGGCTATGTAACGAGGTCTGTCACGATTGAAAAGCAAAGCACAGTACGCAAAGCGCCTGCGCAGCTCCAGCTCGATTGCAGCTATTCAACGCAAGTCAAGCTGCGGCAAAAAGAGGGCAGTCACGTCACTGGCCCGGTTTGTTCATCTAAGGTGTGTAACGAGGGTGTGTAACCAGGGTGTGTAACGAGGGGTGTGCAACGAGCCAGCTGGTCTTGTTACAGAGGTCTGTAACGAGGTCTGTAACGAATGTCCGCCGCGGCTCTGTTACAGACCCCTCAAAAAAATTCACTGCCAGATAGGCTCCGGGGTGGTCCGGGCCGGCCCTGAGGTAAGGTTCCACGAGGGCTCCAGGGGTTCCACGAGGTTTCACGAGGGTTCCACGAGGGTTCCACGAGGGTTCCACGAGGTTTCACGAGGGTTCCACGAGGTTCTGCGAGGGCTGCGGGTGGTGCGAGCACTAAAAAGCGCACCGCATGCTGTTTGGGATATTACTTGAGCTTTTTTGTCTTAACCCAAAAAACAACAACCGGTATCTATACAGTTTATTGGTTGTGGTTGCTATCCACCCTCGCCATCGTCTTTTGGACATTTCTCGCGTCGCCGTCCAAAGCGAGCGTTGGGCTTTGCCGCGCCGCGTGGAACGAGTTCAGAGCCGGGGCTCCGCCACGCACGGGCCACGGAAGCCCTGCGCTTGAAGGCCCCCATCCACGGAGATCACCTCGCGATACGATGCCAGACGTGGGGTGCCGGATTTTGAGCCCGCTAGGCAGAATCTGCTCACTTGCCCGGACCCGAAAATACAAGGTTTATTTTTTGGGACCTTTACTAGAAAGGGACCAAAAAGGGAAAAGGTCGAAAGGTCAAAAGGTCGGCTTTGAACAACTGAGAAAAGGAACTGACAAGCTAATGGGGAGATATTATGTTCACCCAACTGTAGACACACTGCAAAATCTTAGCTTTCGGGTTAAACTGGGAAATGAAGGAAAACCAGACTTCAAAATGTCGAAACGGAAAGCTAAATCTTGCGAAAGGGTCAAATTGTCAAACCCATGGCATCTCCAGCCATTGCCGAGGAAGAGCAACGGGTATCGCATAGCCAGGCTAGGGCGTGGAAATGGGTACACAAAAATGGGTACACGGGTTGAACTCTCACTGAAGGATGCAAGGGGACCCTTCCAGAAATGGAAACTAAACCAGAACGTCAGCCCCTGTCAACTGATCTCTTTAGGTTGGTATTTGTCCTTTTCCTTTTTGTATTGCTTTCTTCTTGTTGGGGCGGGCAGGGGGAATATGCATTTGTCCAAGGAGTATAGTCTTCAAAGAACAATTCCGAATTTCACAGGAAGGCCAAGAAGACTCCACCGACCAACGCCTGGCAAGAATGGCTACGGCCGTGAAAAGATTGCCGAGATGGCGCCCAGGACATGTGTCCAAAGGTTTAGTTGCAAACTCACATCTTCAATGGAGGCAGTGGACTCGATCCCCAAATGAACCGAGCGCGGCTTCAACACACTGAGCGGTGACGATGCAATATACCAATGCCCGACACTACAAAAGCCCAGCGGGATAAATGTTGCTGAGGTATCACACAGGGCACTCGGAAAGTCCAACATGCCTTCACGCAGCACTCATTTTGCCGACGGAAACACGAGGGTGGATCAATCAGTGCTATGCAGTAGTCATAGTCATACCTGGAAAGCCGTATGGCCATTCTTCTCGGCCGTAACCCGTATTTGAATCGTGTTTCCCATATGCTACTTTTTTTGCTGGCCGGTGGCCGTATTTGGCCGTATGCAGCCCGTACTTTTTCGAAAAAATGTTGACAAAAAGCCGTAAATGACCGTATGGTCATTTTTTGTGGCCCAAGCCGTATCGACAGAAAACAGAATAAAAACAAAAACACGTCACATATGGGTTCCCAGGTTGGCAAACCGATGAATTGTACCAACTTGCCGAACACTATCACAAACATGATCAAACATGTGTCTTTGTACTTCATCATAGACTGGCGCCCCTGCCCTATATGCAGAGTTTCGCTGCCGAAAGTTCACCTCACCCGTGCCTGGCCGGTGATGTATGCGGCCGCTGGCATGCCTCCAACGCGCAGGCTACTTGGAGGCCACTTCCCAGCTGGTCAACCCACGCGTTTGTGAGGGGAAGGGCAAGGTCGGGCGGCAACCCTAGAGCGCTAGGCAGTCACGAAACGAGGGCGGAACATCTATGTTCCGCTCCCGTTGTACCAGCGAGTGCCAGAAATCTGATGGAGGGCTTATTGCCCCAGAACAGAAAGCCAGTGCAACGAACATGTCTAACCCGGATACAATGCAAACGTGACCCGAAATGAGGGATCGCCAGAAAACGACCCGTCGTGGGCGCCACCCCGCTGTAAAGTGGGTACCCTTATCGAACAAGGAACCGAGTAGCGGGCACGAAGGAAAGGTTCGTAAACCCCTCTCCAACTTCAGCCATAATTGTGGGATGGGGTTGGGAGCACGTCTCACGCTCGATGCACTTCTGACTTCAGCCCAGGCGCAAAGAAAGGCCACGGCGCCAGCGGTGTCTTCAGGCTCCCCGAGGCGAGCTAAGGGAGTGACCTGAGGTGCGAAAGTCCAGCGACGCCACGCTCATTGCATTTCCCTCAGCTTCAAGGGTGGGATTCACCCCCGATATTAACTGCAAACAGTGGTCCGGTCAAAAATGAGACAGGAATCCACGCAGGTAACGTGAAAGTAGCCATGTAGATGTCCACTTGTTTCTGTACAAAACGGACCACGCCGGGTCACTTTTGCAGGTCTTGCACGTGCTCTTCAAACAGAGGCCTTCTGAAAGCTCCCATGCCATAGAAGATCTCCTGTGGAAAGAGGTTCCGCGCAAGACTTTTCTGCAAATTCATGTTTCAACAGAAAGTCCTGGAAACGATCTCTGTGCAAGGATCCTTGCAGGATTTGTGGATAGGATCTCTTGATAGGATCTCTTGGCAATCTGCTGCGGGATCTGCGAGAAAACTCTCTACAAGTTCTCTCTTCAGGATTTGTAGAGAGCAGCCACTACAAGATCTGTCGACAAGAAATCTTTGCAGGTCCTGTGCAAAATCTGTTGAGGATCTCTATGAAGGACCATCGCAAGATATCGTTGGGAAAATATTTTGGAGGATCTCTGCGCAAGATCTCCCCTACGACTAGGACTCCGGCCGCGCTGCCTCTGTCGACCTCTCTCTTTCTCCTTTCGTTAAACCCGTGAGCTGCCGCCCTTTCTTCAAGCAAAGCCCCCACAGACCCAGTTTTCTGGGGCTCCTCACCACTGCACTTCTTCCATGGGCTATCCGCCTCTAGAAAAGCTCCTGACTGTTGGCCAAGCTCCCCCATGACGCCATCCAAGTCAAGTAGAACCTCCTTCCCATTTTCCTGCGGGGCCGGCGGGCTCCGCGGGACTGGAGCTTGTCCGCCTCGCGCTCAAGATCACCTCCTTGGCATAGTTTTTCTCAAGCCTCAAAGCAGGACTCACTAAGCGGCACCGCTCATGTGGACCATTTCCATCCTGCAACCTGGAGCTACACAAAGGTGGTACCCCCCCGTCTCTTGCCGGCCTGTGTGATGCATACCATTCGTAATGCCAGTCACTGGCCTTGAGGTGGCTAGCGGAAACGTGTCCGCTGGCCACATCAACCCAATCCTTCATCATAGCAGTCGTATTCCATGAAGAGGCCTTTCGCCATGATGGACCCGGCGTGGGAGTGGACATCCCTGTCGAAAGCGTTCGCTTCCACCCATTGAACATCCAAAGTGTTGAGCCCGCTGCTCAAGGTAAATTCCAGTCCTAGTTGCGTTTGCAAGACAGAGCTCCTCCTCCTTTCCACCGTGGCTCCTGGTGGGAGGAAACTCAAGCTTCCCCGCTTCCTCCCTCGCCTACCCGCGAGGTCTGAGGACCCAGGCAACCAGCTGGCTCACAGGAGGCCAGAAACAAGTTCCCACTCCACCTTGAGTCTCAAGCAGGGTGGGCACCAGCTCAGCATGATGCCCCTTCGGGGCATGATGCCTCTTCGGGGAAAACATGCATGCGTATAGCAAAATCACGGATGATGGGCTATTTCGCAAACAGCAACGGGATCCCTTTGTGACAGGGTGACCAGTGTTGGTGTAACACCACGAAACAAGGGTGCCACAGAACTTTCTCTTGGGAGGCTGCAAACGCGCCGCTCTCCCCCGCCAAAACAACAAAAAAAGCCACTAATAAAATAGCGGAATCCTCTTACTTCTTGGTTTCCTCTTAGTTCCTATTTAAACCACCCCTCAAAAGGTACCCCTGAAAAAAAAAGAGGCAACAACACCCAGCAACAACACACAGAAACAAAAAACAACCCCTTTCAAAACACAGGGGAAACACGCCCCCAGGACAAAGCGCCAAGCACCGGTACAAGCAGCTCCCGCTTGGTACCGCACACGCTTCACGTCCTCCAGCTGCTGCGGATTGTTCCGCACCTAAGGAGCCCCCGACACCAAGGCTTCAACGGGGATCGCGAGAAGACCAAGCCAACATACCAGTAGCAAACCGGGGGAAAACAAAAACAAAGGGAAAACTAGAGTGAGCATGTCTAAAAGCACATGTCCTTGTTGGTTTCATACAAGTCCGAAAGGAAAGAAGGATGCCGATTCTCGGTCAGGGTTTTATTTGAGGGACACCCATAGACCTGCCACGAGCACGTTTTCGGCGAGCCTCATCAACATCCTGCATGCCTTGGGTTTAGGGTCTTTTTTGCCTTGTGTGTTTCAGAAGTGGCGGCCAGTGCCATCTGCGATTGTCCACCGAAAACCTTGAGGTCGCCACAAAGCCCACAAGGAGTTGCTTGTTTCCGCCTTGCTTGCTTTTCTTGTCTGTTTTTTTCTTGGATCCCATTGACTGGCAACTGCCAGCGGCCATCACAAGCCAACTTTCATTCTCCTAGTCCCCGTGAAACAACTCGCGGGTTTGCAAGCCCAAGCTAGCTTACCAACTGGCGTGTCCAAGCTTGTCACATCAGTTGGCGTGCAGCTTGTCTCATTTGTTGGGGGAAAATTGCAGTCTTGGGCATGGTATGCGGCTAAATCGCACAGACCAAATAATCAAATAATGCATCGACTCAAGTTGGCTAATGTTCATTAGATCAGTTGACCCTTACTCAGCACACTCAACGACTTGGCACTACAGGTAGGAAAGCCTGTAAACCCGTAAGTCACTGATTGCCGCTCCTTGTTCAGAAACGTTTGGTCCAAAGGATCCGGAATTCACCTTTTGGGGCCATGACTACAAACTGGCCCAAAAGGGACACCAAAAGGTCAAGAGATCAGCTTTGTGGGAAAATTCTGAGTGAATTTCTGCATCACCCGCCTGCAGGACTCTAGTTTCGATCCCTGGTTGCCGGTCAGCTGATGCCGATCAGATGCCCGCGGCAAGGATAGCGGGGAAGTCACCGAGTGTGGGCGGCGATTCCATATTTGGCTGCAAAGATGTCTAAGCAATGAATCCGGAGTCGGATTGTCACACTCAGATCTGGAGGAAAAAACGGGTTGGTCAGCACATGAGCATGGAAGCAAGCGTATCACATAACCATATTGTTGAATGACAGGGTTTCGTTGGTCCTACTTAGATTTCGGGAATGCACCGTACATCCACGGATCGATACCAAAATCAGCGCGGCCGGGCTGAGATTTGGCACGGCCTCTTCGAGGAGAGGTGTGCGGGCCATCCAGGGGCACACCTGAATGCTACGGAGAGACACAACCTGTTCAACTGTCCCGTCCTATTCAGGTGCAGCTGCAGCATGTTGGCGTTTCTCAAAATAGGAACATCCTGTGTGGGGTTTCAGGGTGCGAGGGTCGGTCACCGAACGACCAATCACTGCACTTTCGGGCTGTTGCGGGTTTTGGGGTGAGGGTAATCACCATCAACAACCCGTCGATATCTCGAGTTCAAGGTTCGGGGGGGAGAATAGGCAGGATTAGTGTTGACTCACGGTGCGCTGGGCGGCGAATAAAGGGTCTCTAGCAAAGGTGCGTGTAAACCACGACTTACGCATCAATTTCCAGCATGCCTATCTGCCTAGTGTAGCTTGTGTAGTGCCTCTCACTCATGCCTCACTAATGTCCTGCGACTCGCTCGCTTGCTTGCTATACGGCACAAACGTGATGAACCTATAAAGCCAGCAGGCCAAGCATTTCAGGGAAAACTAACATCGCCAGATCGTGCTGACCCCTGTGCTTGCTGTATGTGCTTCAAGTATGTACATGCCGGTGTGACTTGGAGAAGCATGTCTCAGGTCAAGAACTCTTCCAAGAGGACGCCCTGGCCAGGTGAGAATGGGGAGCAGTCGACTGTGGGCCCTCTGTTGCTTACCTATCGCCTGCTTTCCCACGCCAATTAGTACTGAATCTGCTGATTAATCAACCAAAGGCTCAGATGCCCAGTGGTCATGGGAAAAAAGGGCACCCCTTTTTTGTTCGTTGAGTTTAAAGGGGAACCCTTACCCAAAAAAAGGAAAGAAAGGGCGCCACTGGGCAACAGAAAAGGGTCAAGCCTGTTTGATTGAAGCAAGAAAAGCACCTTGCGACGCTCTTGTTGCAGACCAGGCGCGCAATTCACTCGAATGCCCAGGGGGCCCCACTCGCCTCAGCGCGTTCCAAAGGCGAAAAAAAGCTGTCCGAATACTTCAGCAAAGCAAATGTGACTGCTCTTCGTGATGCAAATGGCAAAGCCTTGTGGGGCCAACACAGTTGATACTGAAAAAACCGTCATTTCAGGTAGAACGTTGACTGGGCAATTGGCTCGGCATAGGACTCGAGGCTCGCTTGATGGCTGGCCCAGTGGTTACAGTTGCCCCCATGTCAGCCCCACGTTGCCCCTCCAGCTACTTGGACCTGGGCAAACTATAATTCAACCTACGGATTCGAACAAGTGAAACGATAAATCAAACAATGTTCCGTCGCAAACGCTGAGGTCTCAATTTGTTGACACCCCAAAACACGCAGCAAGCAACAAATCAAGTTCGAATGGGACCCGAGCCCTAGCAATGCTCCGAGCCCTGGCCTCAACTGAAAACCGGAATACAACACGTGTGCGAGGGCAAATAGAGCAGGTATCAGCAAGTGATAAACTGGGTGTTTATACATCTCTATATTAAGTCTATAAATATATACATGATATGTTTTCATGTACGTTATTCATCATTGAGCACCCATATCCGCGCCCGGACAAATGCCACGTCCTTTGCGGCCACGACCAAGGTGGGATTCCCATCCCTACGACTACACCAGCCCCTGGGATCACAGTAACAGAATTGTTGACGATTAGGATCTCCTGAGTGGTTCCATTGAAAACAATAAGAACCACAGCAACACCCGTAGCAACAGAAACACACATAGCAATAACAGCGAACAAATCCCATTGGTCATAACCAGCCAGGAACTGTTCAATTCGCCACGTCGCATGCCAGGCTGAGCGCCAAGTGTGCCATAGCCTCAGGCGTGCTTGTCCAATTCATGGCGCTGGTTCTGCAAAGCACGGAACCGAACAAGGCCGCCCAAAAACAGCTTCTTCTCATTGGTGGTTTGGACTGGTGCTTGTGAGGTTCCATGTTGGTTTGGGAAGTATCGTTGCCCTGTATGACTGGCCGACTACAGATCCTGCTAGAACGAAATCAACAAAAAAGCCATACGTCATAAAACACAGCCAGGAAAGCAGCAAGCAAGTAAAGCAAGCTATCCGGCCAGCAGAACCGAACCCATACCTCCATTTGCTTAAGTCCCCTGGAAAAAAAACAATGATTCCAGTAGTGATAGATTCCATTTAAACCAACAGGGAACATTAAATGTATACATATATACATATTTGTATATTCTTAACCAAATGGAAGCAGCCTCCTGCAAGTCCCACGAAACGCAACTTGTGGATTCCTTTTGAAGGGGAACACCTGACGAATCCGGCGCGCAAGTCGAGCGTATAGATGACAGGGGCCTTGTGAGTTGGGTCCTCGGACAAGTCTTTGGGGGATTGCATTTCAGGCTCAAAATCTATGGGTCGCAAACAAACTATTTGTTTCAGGCTTTTGCTGCAGAAGCCATGACAACTGGTCTAAGCCTCCAAGGGCAAGGCTGCGGCTCAGAATCTCAGCATCCCAGCATCTCGAAAAGAGATGCAACATTTGCCGGAAGTAGCGGTCAATTCAGCAAGATGTGCATCAAACATCGATCGCAACATGTGCTGGGCATGGCAAATTGGCGAATCGGTGTCTTCGCGCCATCCCGCAGAAAACACGCCTTCCGCTTTGTGTTTGGGGTAGGGTTGCCAAAAACATGTATCAGTCATATCATTCGAGCAACGCCCTTTTACCCGAAGGAGTCAATGCACTTTGAGAAATTCCCCGCGGTTTCAAGATAGTTGGCAACCTCTGGGGCCCTGGCCGCTTTGGTCATGGCGTACACCGAGCCCGTGCCTGTGCTACGGACCCCCGCCGCGCTGGAGATGTTCACCTGAAGCTCTTGCAACGAAATGGGAGCTTCTCGAAATGGGAGTCGCACCACCCCTTTGGGTTGGTATTTGAAGGGAAGTCAAAGGAAAACCGTAGCCGTGGAAAGGTTTTTTTCCTATTTTAGCACATACCTCACGCGGGGAGCGGGCTTGGGCAAAAAAACTCGAATCGCACCATGGCGGAAAGTCAATCAAACAGAAGCGGATTCATCGGGTTTCAACTTGTCATTGGTCAAAACTGGACCAGTCACGGCAGCCGAGCAGGCGTAATATTGGGATTGACTTGGTCAACCTGTTCATGTACGCACATGCTATATCTTACCACTCTAGCTGAAACTACCATCTCTGGTTGTTCAATTTACAATGTGTTGCAAAGCCGAAACGAAACACGGGACTGCTAAACAACACTACTCTACTCTCCGCTGAGCGCTAATCAGACAGCAAAGACACCTTTTGGCTGGAGACGTCCAACGCAAACACCCATTCTGCAAGTTCTACAAACGATTTTGCCTGATCAGCTTAGAACCTGTGCTCAGTTCCGACATGGCAGGTGGAGGTTCTTCACGGATGGGTGGGTTTTGGGCACTGTGCCTCTGCGGGCGTGCAAGACCCTCTGCCGTAAGAGGGCCCTGCTGACCATGGGGGGAGGCCTGATCAAACCTGGGGAGCTCATCAGATTTCCCGACGCCCATCAGCATCGGCCACTTGGCTGTTGTTGAATATATCGAAGTTCGTCAGTTGCCTTCAAGCGAGAAAGCTCACCTGTCCAACTTTCAAACACTGGGATGGTGGCCTGCTGATGAAAAAGATTCAGCGTGCACACGAAAGCCCGTCAAAGAAACAAAATTGCCCACCTTGTTGCAACATTCTCTACATGACATAGGGCGGGCGAGCAGTTCACGCCCCATATACAAGAGCATGAGGCAATGTCGCAATTGATGGACACCCTTCCCTGCTGGCTCATCCCAGTTGATTCTACTTGCTTGCACAAGTTGGAAACCATGGTTTCGCAGCATGGTCAACACAACCAGGTGCAAACTTCCAAAGATTAAGAATCCAGTGCCATTCCTTCCCAGTGCCCGCATTGAAGAAAGAGGGGCGCGTCTGCTTTGTACTTCCTGCATGGATTGACCCAAGAACAGTCCACACTGCTTATTGTACCACGATCATGATTTCACCCCGAGCAAAAAGTAAAAACCAAAAAAGGAGAGAGAAAAAAAAAACAAAAAAACACATCCGGCTGGGAAAGCGCGCCTATGCATCCAAGCCGCCACCGAGGGGCGTGACGAGCGCTCCAGCATGGGCTTGAACATCTTGCCTCAGTGCCAACCGAAGCATGTTGCAGCATAGATTCAGTCAGTCCCGTTGGTGTCATCGAACGAACCACTCTCTTTTTGTTGTTTGTTTGTTTGTTTGTTTGCTTGCTTGCTTGCTTGTTTGTTTCTCTGCTGGCTTGTTTGTTTGCTTGCTTGTTTGTTTGTTTGCTTGCTTGTTTCTCTGCTGGCTTGTTTGTTTGCTTGCTTGTTTGTTTGTTTGTTTGCTTGCTTGATTTCTTGTTTGTTTATTGTTGTTCGTTTTGTGTTTTTGTTTTTGTTTGTTTGTTTGCTTGTCTGTTTGTTTACTTCATTTACTTATTCTAGTTGAACGCATTGCAGCACAAACATCAAGTGTATCATCACGTGTGGCGTCCATTTCACAAAGGGTGTCCGACGACACCGCTGTCTCAAATTCTTGCCAGGATGTCTGTCATGATGCAACGCCTGCAGAATAACATTCCAGGGATTGCACAGGTGTGCCCTTCTCATTGAGAATTGGCAAGGGTTTTCCTCAGCCAGCACTTAGAGTCACAAAACAGGTTTCGGGGTCTAAGGGACACATCCTACCACACTTTGTTTCAAGCTTCCTCACTAGAGTCAGAAGGAGGCATCTTTCAATTCCCCCCCCCATAAGACAAAATAGGCAAGGAAGGCATCAGAAGGATGCATGTTTCAATCCCCCCCAAAACAACAACAACAACAACAAGGAAGGCAAAGCCTTTGACCTTCTGCAATCAGGCAGCACAGGAACCAGCAGGAGTCCACGTTGGTCCTCATCATGGTAGTGTACTCCTCCTCCGTCGCCTAGGCGGTGCCAGCCCTGAGCCTCTGCCCAAACAACCTCCGTTGGAACCTCCGGAAGGACCCACTGGTCGAAGCCCCAGGGTTGGTACAACATGCAGCGCAGCTGACATTGCCAAAGACCTTCCAGTGCCGGTCATGGTCATCCTAGACATCAAAAATCCAGAATCTGGGAGGTGTGTGGTATGCTTGAACATTCCTCTTCTGTCCCCCCCTTGCAACAAGCCTGTGATGTTTATCTTACCCGACGCAGACTGCTTCTTGCTTTTTCTGTGGCGGCACATGTGTGAACAAGTTCATACCAGTGCCACAATTGGAGATGTTTGGTGACATGTTGCCATACAGGCCTCACCTTTTGACAAAGGGACACCCCTGCATCACCGTCATTGAGGAGCTCCGAATCTGTACCGTGCAAACCGTCGTATTGAGCAGGTCCTTTTGTTATTCCCCAAAAAAAACCATCCGTCTTTGAGCAGGTCCTTTCTTTCTTCCCCCCAAAAACACATCTGCACAAAGGCAAGCCCTCTTTCGATCTGTTTCCTACTGGAAGAAGGCTGAGGTCTCGGATCGGCTTCTCCGCGCGCGCCTCGTGGATGGGCTTCCGCACGTTGGTGCCCACGTTGTTCACCAAACCATCCAGGACACCGCCCCAGAGGTTTTGCACATACGCCGCCAGCGCCTGCACGTGAGAAATCGCGCAGGTTTTTGTTTTTGGTGCTGAATCGGTCGATTGACTCGGAACACGTTTCGTCCAACAGGTCTGTTGGTCTGCTGCTACAAGAGGTTGAAAAGCGTGGGGTGCACCAGACTTTGGCTGCTTGGCACAAAGATGAAGGAGAAGGCGAGGTGTCATAGATTTAATCCTTCAAAACGGAGCAAGCAAGCAAGGCAAGGCAAGGCAAGGCAAGGCAAGGCAAGGCAAGGCAAGGCAAGGCAAGGCAAGGCAAGGCAGCAAGCAAGCAAGCAAGCAAGCAAGCAAGCAAGCAAGCAAGCAAGCAAGCAAGCAAGCAAGCAAGCAAGCAAGCAAGCAAGCAAGCAAGCAAGCAAAGCAAGCGAAGCAAGGCAAGGCAAGGCAAGGCAAGGCAAGGCAAGACAAGGCAAGGCAAGGCAAGGCAAGGCAAGACAAGGCAAGGCAAGGCAAGGCAGCAAGCAAGCAAGCAAGCAAGCAAGCAAGCAAGCAAGCAAGCAAGCAAGCAAGCAAGCAAGCCAGCCAGCCAGCCAGCCAAGCCAAGCAAGCAAGCAAGCAAGCAAGCAAGCAAGCAAGCAAGCAAGCAAGCAAGCAAGCAAGCAAGCAAGCAAGCAAGCAAGCAAGCAAAGCAAGCGAAGCAAGGCAAGGCAAGGCAAGGCAAGGCAAGGCAAGGCAAGGCAAGGCAAGGCAAGGCAAGGCAAGGCAAGCAAGCAAGCAAGCAAGCAAGCAAGGCAAGGCAAGGCAAGGCAAGGCAAGGCAAGGCAAGGCAAGGCAAGGCAAGCAAGCAAGCAGCAAGCAAGCAAGCAAGCAAGCAAGCAAGCAAGCAAGCAAGCAAGCAAGCAAGCAAGCAAGCAAGCAAGCAAGCAAGCAAGCAAGCAAGCAAGCAAGCAAGCAAGCAAGCAAGCCATCCAGCCAGCCAGCCAGCGAGCAAGCAAACGAACAAGCAAGCAAGCAAAGCAAGCAAAGCAAGCAAAGCAAGCGAAGCAAGCGAAGCAAACGAAGCAAGCGAAGCAAGGCAAGGCAAGACAAGGCAAGGCAAGGCAAGGCAAGGCAAGGCAAGGCAGCAAGCCAGCAAGCAATGAAGCAAGCAAGGAAGCGAGCGAGCGAGCATTCGAGCAAGCAAGTGAGCAAACGAGCAAGCAACAAACAAGCAAGCGAGCAAGCAAGCAAAGCAAGTTAAGCAAGCAAAGCAAAGCAAGCCAAGCAAGCCAAGCAAGCAAAGCAGGCAGGCAAGCAAGCGAGCAAGAGAAGAACCAACCAAGTAACCAATCAATCAAATCACATCAAATCAAATAGAATGAGTCAACCAATGATTCAATGAATCAATCAAGCAATCGAGCAAGCAAGAGATCAATAACTCAAGTCAAATCAACTCCAATGCAAACAACAAATCAATTCATCAATGAACCGAACAGCCAAGCAAGCAGACCACAAATTCAATGCATCCAACTGACTAACTAACTAACTAACTAACTGACTGACTGACTAACTAACTAGAAACCAAAGAAAAGGGGCAAGCCAAGCAAACAAACAAACCAGCCAAGCACCGGCACATCTCTGCCAAAACTAAGCGGCCATATGGGTGGCTCCTCATGTTATAGGGGACCCCAAAAATGGTGGCGTTCCTTTTGATTTTCCTTCAAAACCCAGAAGCAAGGCGGGGTACAATCAAAACATGACCCCCCCCCTTCGCCCCATAGTTTTGACTTGACCCCAGATCGACTCCAAGTGTTGCGCGTGGCCTCTCTGCCCTCCTTGCCGGACACGTCCGCAGCAAGGCCATAAACCTTGCCGCTCCCTGCAAGCTCTGCGCAGGTCGCCTGGAGCGAACCCGTGCGGCTGGACGTGGACATGTTCGCAACACGTTTGCTTTGGGACCTTTGGTGGACGCAAATGATGGGGGTTTACCCTCTGGTCCACTAACTAGCAACTGTGGGAGAGTACCTGGAAGTTCAATTTCCTCTTGAAGGGACCCCGTGTTAGTGATCCGCTCCTTTTACTGCCGGGGCCAGGCACATGTCTATTGACGAGTTTGCCCCCACCAAGCATGAGCGAATCAGCCTTTGGCAAAACTCGCCCACACACGTGCTTAAAGGGAGGGCGGGAGGGTGACTTGAGCCGCGAGCACGTGGCCTCCTTCAAGTAAAAAGCTACTCAAACAACTGTAAACAGAGTAATGATCCGCTCCTTTTACTGCCGGGGCCAGGCATATGTCTATTGACGAGTTTGCCCCCACCGAGCATGAGCGAATCAGCCTTTGGCAAAACTCGCCCACACACTCCAAAATGATTTGAGGACAAAGTCCTGCCGAAAATGTGCCTGGCTGGCAGTCGAAGTAATTTCCAAACCAATCGAACGAGGAGGTCAAAACAGCATTAGCGAGGGCTCTGGCCAATCTGTTGAACAAAGCCCGGGGATAGGGTTGAGCCAGCAACGTCAGAAAGACCTCTCCTTGCGTCCCCACCAATTGCACATGCCGTTTGCTTGACTTGCTGCAGGCTCTTCCATCTTGCGGAAAGGGCAATTGTCTTGACAAAAAACTGTAATGCCATGAGATACCTTTCCACGCGTGAGGATGTGCTTGATGGGCGGTGCAATCCACAATCGTGAGGTAGCAGGATTCTCCAAAGCGACAGGGATACCCAGCCGAACACACACGCGAAAAACTCTGGCAGAAAAACGGAGCAAAGCATTGCCAATACGGATCTTTTCGAGGTCCTTGGGAGACAAATTAGGGAAGCCCCAAATACACTCGCAATCGTCTCGCAGTGGGCCAGGGCATCCCATCGTCTTGCACGTGACCACGAGTTACAGAGCCAGACACAACAGACATGACCCTGTCCGATCTTTTCCAGCACTTCACGCTGAATGCACGGCCGTGCCAAATGAAACTGTATGCCATGCTCACTGTCAATTTCAAAACCATGGAAAAAAAAAGTGACAATGTCGTCGCCCCGCTGCTGAAAGATGCCCACAGCCAGAGAAGATCTCTAAAGCACATCCACGCCGGCTCATTCCACTTTTGCTTGTCCAAAAGACCCACACCTCCGCCTCGAGAGCCTCGTCCTGCTGCTCTTTGCTCAGATTCACGAACACATGGGCCAACCTGCCGCCGTTTGAATACCTTCTCACCGACTGCAGTGTTTTCCACCGGCCCCGTTTATTGCACCTGCTCCAGCGTTCTCAGGCCTGACAGCACGTCTGTCGACGCGCTTCCGTGCCTGATCTGGTACGTGCACGTGACGCCCTTCTCCACGTACCCAAGCTCCCTGAGCACGGTGGACAATAGCGCGGTCCCTTCGCTCATGGGAAAGAGAACAGTGCCTGGTCGGGTAGCCCTGGTCGACAGGGACGGCCTCGTCCATCTCCCCCAGCTTTTGACGTCACCGGCACCTGCTGATCCACCCCGGGGTTGATGATGAGCACCGTGTGGCTGCACAGCTTTCCAGGGCCCACCACGTGCTTTCCCTGCAACCTGTGGATCTCGCCAGGCCGCCCGCATGCCGCCCAGGTGGGCATCAGCCACAGCGCAACCTTCCGATGAACCTCCGGCAGATTGCACACAACCTTTCCCACGGCAAAGGCAACTCTCCGGAATCCTCGCAAAGCAGTGGTGCTCCGCGTCAACTCCGTGGGCTTCCCCACATCCAGCCAGTGGTACTTCACCGCGGCCACCACCGTCTGCCCCGCCGACAGGTCCTCCCCGTCCCAAGAACAGCTCGCTGAGGTAGCTCGACCGCTGTGTCCAAGGCCTCCACTCCAGCCACCGCCCGCTCCATGAACCGCCCGAAACTCTGCGCATAGCTCTTCTCCCGCGCATTCGACACTTCCTCTCTAGGAAGGTCAAAGGTCCTTTCTGCTGATCCTCTGGTTGCCCATGAAGGTAACGTCGTAGAGTTGCCCACTTCCTCTTCTTGTCCTCCTGCTCTTCTTGGATGACTGGCCTGGGCGTTTCCTTCCCCATCTGCTCTTGCGTGCGCGGCAAAAGCCCTGGCACGCCAGCCTCCACCTCCTTCTTCAAGGACCGGGTCAGCATGGCACTCTCGCGAAATGGTCCAGAAATCAAAAGCTTCAACAGGATCACTACGGCCGCAAGATGGCGCGTCGGCCGGGTTCAGTTCCGAGGGAACCCACCTAATAGCCACATCAATTCCTGTTGCAAAAGTGACGGCAGCCAGTTGCCTACAAATGCGATTCATTGCCCCCGACCCATTCCGACCCTTTGGCCCAAGCCAGGGCAGCCGTCGTCGAATCCGAAAGAATCAAATGTCGCCGACCGTGATGACGTTGACTGCGGGCCAAGTGTTGAAAACCCAAACGAAAGATCTACCCTCCAAAGCAGGAATATACTCTGCTCTGTCCCATTTGGATGAGTCGACTTTGCGCCAAGGGCCCGCCAACATGTCAAGTGGGACCTCCGGCACAGCATCTTTGGGCTCCCTAGCGGTGGCTGCTGCATTGACGCAGTGGAGCTTCTCCTGGTCGAGAACGGTTGATTCAGGATGTCCCAAAACTGCTCGTTCAACATCCTTGAACCTCCACCTATCATTGTATTGCCCAACCGCTCGAACCTCTTCAACCGGCTTGTTGGTAATCGCGACTCCCCGTCCCCAAGGCGAAGCATCCGTGGCATAGACCTCATCACTCCAAACTGCTGAGAGGTCCCTTACCAACATTGGCAACAAGCACGACACCCAGAAAAGCTCTCTTCTCACTTCTGGCCAGATTGCAACCTCCTCCTTGTAGTGTTTTTGCGTAAAGACATACACCGCCTGGAAGCAACATCTCACGACGAAGAAGCCCGCAAAGGTATAATGCCACTGCCGTCCCACCTTCTCAGCTAAGGAAGCAACCAGCCCAGGGCGTTGCGATAGTGCCACAAAGTTGTCCACATACTCGGTGTGCACAAAGGGCGCCATCCGCGGGATTGGAGCCGCATCGTAGAAACGGCCCATGCGGCCGATGTCCTCCATCCCATCCACAATCGTCTCGTGACACTTCTGGCAATGCGTGAGCCCACCCCATAGGCACAACCCGAAAACAAGGGAATATCCGCTCGCCTGGTTTGCACTTCCCTCCGACTGCGTTGCTAATACCAACGTCCTGGGCCCAAATGGAAGGAAGAGCAAACAAATCTCGAAGACCCTCCGGCAACAAGATGTTGTCCACCTCGATCTTCGCAAAGGAACTTCCAGTGGCGAGCCGCACTTTCCTGGGCGTCCCAAACCACACCACTAGGCGTTGGTGCCCTCCCTTCTTCTACACTGTGAAGGCCCCAACATGTTCGCGGCACGACCTTCGAAACTCAACGAGGCCAGCATCATGCAGCCTCAAGACACACCCCGAATAAGCATGCTTATTACTTCGAAGAAGCGGATCCATATATGGAGATTTCAAATCACTTATCTCCCGGCGAGCCCTAACCACCTCCACCACATTCCTAGCTTCCCCCTCTAGCGACACAAGGTCTGCCTGAAATGGCGCCAAATTAGCTGGTTCACCAGCATAACCTGGCTTGACCCGAAGCTCATTCAAGGCTTCCGGGCCGGAAAAATCGGGTGGGGGTTTTCCCACCGCCGCAACTGCATCATGAATCCTCTCCAAACAGAACAGATGTTGCGCAAGGGAAGCCGACCCATTGGCCCCTTCATGCAATTCAAGCGACACCACCACATCCCTCACCTAGGACTGCACATGCCCCTTCATCTGGAGCCTCCTGGCGGCAAGCATCTGACGTCGCTTACTGGGCGCAGGCCTCCGGCAGGGTTTCCATTCCACCCTGCAGGCGCGGCCCTGTGGCTACTTGGACGCACTGGCGCGCTGCTCGCGCGCCTTGCGAACCTGCTTCATGATTCACGCTTCGCGCTCAACCTCCTTGGAGACATACTCCACCCCGGACAGACCATGACGTCCCCAAACTCCCGGTGAGTCCCCGAAAAGACCGTGGAATCCAGCCTATACAGCGTGTCATCATCCTTCTTCTTGTCGCCCTTGCCACCTCCTTTACTTGCTCCAGGGCCTTGATCAGAGTCAAAATACTCTATCAGTTCCAAACGCCTAAAAGCCATCTCAACGCCTGCCAGATTTGCAAGGTCCAATCCGTCAAACCGGCCCAGCTTATCCAACACCTTCATGAGATGTTCATGTTCCGCCACACCCCACGAGTCCGGCTTCAAGGAGTTGTTTGCTCAACATGCTGCTGCTGCCCTTGTGGTGCTGCCTGGCGCGGCTGCTGGGTCATCGCTGCGGCTCCTGCTCCGGTTGCACCAGTACCTGTAGCGCCGGTGGGAGATGGGCACATTTGGGTGGTGGAATCGGGTGAGACGGGGCTTCGGGGTGATGAGGTGACTCTGGATGAGATGCCGGTCTGAAGAACTACGGGCAAAGGTGGAAGGCCATTCGGCCGCTCCTATCGTGGAGCCGAGGCCGCTGCAGATGCTCGTCTTCTTGTGCGACAACACGTGGAACCTAAATTTGCTGGTACCATTCATGGGGGGGAATGTCATAAAGGACAAACACGCGCGTCCCTTCCTCCAAGGCCATCAGGCCCGCAAGGCGTGTCGCCGCCTGACTAACTGCACCTGCTCAAGGGCTCTGCGTTGCAAATCCTCGGCCGGAGCGGCCACTGGTGAAGGTGGCGGGACCTCCGGAACCTCTTGCTTTGCTGGCAAGAGTTTGCCCACCACCACTTGCAATGCCCGGAAGCTCAGGACGCCAGCACCAAGCAGAAGCCCTCCCAGCCACACCGCTCCTTTCGCGAATTCCCACCACCAATCTGTACCCACCGCGGCCACCTCACAAGTGCAGTGACACGTGCACTCACCGATGCGGGAATCACTGATGAGAGCCGCCAACCATGAAAAGGTCAATGCGACCCAGCGCCACATGCCCGCTTATGACTTGAGCCACCTTCAAGTAAAAAGCTACGCAAACAACTGTAAACAGAGTAATGAACAGGAGGGTACCTCCCACTAACATGGCACCTGACAGGGGGTCATGTCAAACGGAAATTGATCTTCCAGGTACCTCCCCACAGGTGCCATGTTAGTGGAGTCAACCAGTTAATTTCATTTTGCCCGGTGATACCCATTGACAATTCAGTAATTGGCTATTTAACACGAAAAAAACTGTTTTCTGAGATATTGGCCGCCTCAAATTCCATTTTTATTTAATATTGAGTAATAACGACAAACATCATCCAGGTGCGGATTTATGCCCATCACTTTTGAATAAATGTCCTTGTGACATTCATAGCCATAGTGAGTGTTGTCTCTGTGTTGACTTGCAAATGGGTGTTAGTTTTCCGCTGGGCGGTCAAATGCCTTCACTGACAATAGATTAGATGATTCCTCAGGGTTGCAAGACCTGTGATGAAACACCACGCCCGAGAGAAGAGCTGTATCAGCAGGACTTGGGATGGCCTTCACATTGAACCAACAACTATTCAGGGGTTCTTGTACCTTCCGCCCGCGGTCTTGCGAAAAAGGTCCTGATTTGAATGGCCTAAGGAGTGCTAGTGGAAAAGCGACTCCAAAAACCTGTCCGTGTTGTTTCAGCCTCAGAAAGGCCAGGAAAGCTTTGCCAGCCAGCCACACAATCCCTCATGTCCAGAAAGTCAAGTACAAGAAAATCGTTGATGGACTCTATTCAACCTAAACATATCAAAAACCAAAAGAAACTGGGAAACATCAGAAACTCAGGCGTGTGGCTGTACTGTGCTGAGCATCTCTGCATTAGTGACATCTGATACAACATGATGCAACATTGTGGTTTATGCAGTACTCGTAAGTTGGAATGTGTCGAACATTGGCCCTGTAAATAGGCCGCGGGTTCTGACGGATGCCTCGATCAGGAAGCTTGACAACTGCGCCAGTCATGCTGACAAATATAGGTCCGTCTTCCAATTAAATTGGGGACCCCCAATGAAACATCAGTTTAAGGGCAGCCAGGATTTCGGACCATCCACACCTCCCGGTGCCCGACTCGCTGCAAAACGTCTTGAGTCTTCAGTTGAATTCCGACTGGCACAGACAAGCAAGAATGCTGTGGCAGCCTCCTTTTGGTCGATTCGTGGACTCCCGGCCTTAGGCACCTGGGAGCCGGGTCAATGCTCAACCCTGAACCTGAGCTTCAAACACGATTATTTGCTACCAGTATTTTGGCCAAGGGCGAAAATGTATGGGTGTGGCTCAAAATTAAACAGGAGGGGTTACGCAGGTTGTGGTCCATGTTTCCACTTACCAGGGTTCCATTTTGGTACCGGTTTTTTGAGCCACAGCCGTATGCCACCCAACCTGGACCCAGCGAGAATTCCGATGTGCCGTGGTCTTTCCTCCACCTCTGAACGCCCGTCCTCCACCTCCGCAGGCTTGCGGGCGGTGATGACCTGAGCGAGAGGCGCGCGGAGGTGCAAACATGTGGAGGGCCTAGCCAACGATACCACAGTATGGCTGTGGGTTAAAACCCTGTACCCCTGGTTCACATCCAAATCGGTCTCAAATGGATGTTCATCCGCCCCAAAATGGAGGCATAGGTTATGACTCATGGCCATATGAGCCTGTCCTGAATGGGGATCAGGTGGCACACCCCTAGGCTCGGAAGCCCATTGCCTTTACAATAAAGCTTCATGTTGGTTCGCCTTGCTACCCTTAAACCAGGTAGCCGAACCTAAACTGGCAACCCAGGATTTGGTGCTGCTTCAAACCGGCACTGGCTTGCTTTTCCCAAGGAACTAGCCCCATTCTACCATCCTTGGGTCGCCCCCCCCCGCCTGGTAGCCACCAACCAGCTTCCCCCCGCACCCAACTAAAAGGAAGCCACCCACCAGTTTCTGACTATCACCCCTACCCTTGGTTGACTTTGGAAGGGGAGCAAACAATATTGAATTCTAGCAGTTAACTGGGGATTTCCCACTAAACCACAAGAAGCAAAAATGCAACACATGTTTCCCAACAACAACCATGTACCCATGCCAAAGTGAAGCCCACCAGTCTCTGACCATAACCAGTCGAGTCTACCACTCGAGTCACCCAAGTGGTAGCCAACCTGCGTCGCTCGGGTTCCGGGCCACCTCTGCGCCGAGCGCCAACATCTCCGCCGCGCAGGCGCGGCCCAGCCCCTTGGTGGAGCCTGGCGACATCGACGATGTCTCGGCGATTTCTCGGCAAGCAGCGGGGGATCTGTCAAAAAGGCACCCGAAACCGGTTCCCATGTTGACTTTTATGTGGTTGGAGGGTCGTTTTCCTATGACTTGGTTTGAGGTGTGCGTGCTTTTTCGAAAGTCTTTGGATGGTCCAAAGGGAAACCAACAAGAAAGCTACACAAATTTGGGGTCAGCCATTTTGCTTCTGGATGAGCAACCCCATCCGCCAAAGCTGTTCAATACGGCCATGGGCTGATTTCTGGCTCCACACAAGCATTCGTCTGTGAGACAGCGTTCAACCGCAAGGTCAAAACGCCATGGAGGCATGAGCCATCCCGGCCGCGGCACTCTTTCCAGTGCTACCTTCTATTTCCATTCTTTCCAGGGATCCGGATCCTTCTAGAAAACCTCCGGAAACCCAGGGAATCGGCCGGTGTTCGAAAAGAATGAACAATGATGGTTGGAAAGAATGGGGAATCAACCCTTAGACTCTTGCAATGCTCAACAAGTTGCTCGTTTGCGGCATTTAGGTAGCCAAGCACTCTGAGTAGGCGCACCTCCCTGGAGGAGCCAACACATGGCATACAATCGGGGCTTCGCGCCATTCGAGAAAACACACAGATGTGTAGGACACAGAGTCTGAATATCTTGAAACCATATGAACGAAGCTGGCCACCAACCAAACTAGTGGCGGCCGCAACACTCGCCACAAGAATCTCCTCTCTCGCTCTGCTCCGGGCCTGTGACCACGACCTTAAACCCATCCAGCGACCACCGGCTCATGGCGAATTCGCTTAAAATCAGGCGTAAGCAGCAAACTCAAAAGGACCAAAGCGTCAGATGGCACGTCCCTGGCCCCGTTGGTGCACCTCTTGTTCAAGCTGACCGCTCATGTTGGCTCTATAGGCTCAAGCGCTGATAGCAGCCGGCGAGGGCGGCAATGCAAGCCCCATGTGATCCCAATGGTGCGGCAACAAAGCGCCGAGCACCCTTGTGACAGCAACTTGACTTCAAGGAAAAGGTATGCTTGTCAAGATTAATTCATTTGTAATTCAACCCGAGCACAAACTACCTTACAACCTGGCAACCCTGTGTACAACCTGTTTCCTGCGCGGAAACAGCAACTTCCCGCCATGCAAGCAAAAGGAAAGCAAAACACATACAGTTGCATTTGCTCCCCCTGCAGACAACATGCAATTCTGTCTGCAGAAGCTCTGCATTTTTCCCAAACACCCTTGCTCCAGGAAGTCTGATCAGAAAGGCGTTGGGCAAGGAACAAGTTCAGTTGGGAATCTGGGCAGCTGACAGATCCTTGCAGTCATGAGTTCAGCAACAGCGCCAACGAAGGCAAGGCGGCTCAAACAGAGTCAGGTACTGAGAAGGATCCCCTGCCACAGCTGGACATTGAAAGTCCGCGCCCGTACTTATCTAGGTCCTCCAGTAGAGAGGTTAGAATAAGGGTACCCGATTTTTCTTCTGTAGTCTATTTTAGTAGGGGAACCCTCTCCCAAAAAAGGGTAAAAGGGCACTACTGGGGGACCTAGTTATTCAGATGTTCGCGATTGCACGCTCAAAATGAAACCGGTCGCCACCCCCAGTCGCTGCATCGATTTACCTGTCAGCATCGCTGCATCAGCTTTGACCGTGCTTGCTTGCATGGTGCACGACCCACTGAAGATGGGGCAAAGGGTTCCTTGTTCAACGTGCTTTCCGCGCGTCTCCATTCTTTGATTGGTTGCCCTCGACTCGAGCATCATGTCACACCCTGTTGTCAACATGCCGCGGGCACGGGCTGAGAGCATCCCACGGACATGCTTGGAACAGCGAACCGAGATGATCTAAAATATCTGTCGCGAAAAACACTGCTAAATAGGATCACATCTGTCTGCCTGACCAAGCATCGGTCTGTCTGTCCCCTGTCTGTTCAAGATGTCAGCCGACCAGCTGTTGCAACAAGAGTCTCAAGACGCATCACGTTTTCCGTTCTTTGTGATTCTGTGTTGATCGAGCGTGTAGCTTGGATCATGCATAGCAATTGATAGTGCACCCACGCGTGTCTTTGTTCACGTTTTCTCTCTCCCGACATTAAGCATGTCATGTTGTTTCAAGGAAGACAAAACATTCGAAGAGGCCCCTGGGCAAAATCATCTAGTCATCTAGTCACAATATTTTGAAGCGCGCGAAATCAACATCCAAACACAACGCCATTAAACAGCTCGATGAAGTACTTTCGACGACTCTTCCCTTTGTCATCCTGCCCTTCCGGCAGGCGTCTCACAGGAACTCGCTACCGCTCCGCGCCCGCTCATTCGCCGGCGTCGCCGGGGCCGCCCCGGCCAGCGCGAGTGCGGGCGGCAGCGCTGCCGGGCGCAGTGGGAGGGAGGCTCCCACGGGGCAGCCAGGCTTCTGCAGCAGCCCGCGGTACCTGTCCAAAGTATGGCAGGTGTAATGTTAACCCCGGGTTAAAGATTTTCTGGTTGATGAGTAGGGGGGTGTCCCCTTTTAGTGGGGATTCATCACTTTTGGAGGGAACACCCAATAATGGGACGGGTTTATTAATCCTGGGTCAACATTATACACATTTTGCATCTTGTCTCCATCCAATGTTGGGGTCGGGAATATTGCCATGATTTCCCAAATCGGAAATGAGGACTATGCGTTAAAGGCTCTGACACGCTCCGATTACCCAGCACTCCCTTCGCCCCACATCCAAAGGCCCAAGTTCATGAAATGACTCAACTGTCCTCTCTTAGCGCAACCTGCAATTTAGCCCAAGAGAACGAATAAGATATTTAAAACCCATCAATTTGTGAATTGCCTGGCATTTGTTTCCTCCAAATGGTAAGGGGCGGCAAGTTGGTTGGAATGGGAAGCTAACCAATCGTGGAGTTTGCGTGTCTCAGTGTAAGGAGTGCGGGCATAATACATAAAAACATGTGCATATATACATATATATATATATTTCTATTTACACAACAATATATACACACATCCACAGTACTTCTGCGCAAATGGGAAAGCTTCTAAAGTGGTTCCTCCAGCTTCCCAGCCATGCAACCTGCAGGTTTGGCTCTGAAAGGCAAAAAGGTTGATGAATGGTTGCTATGTTTGGTGATCGATCACTTGTACGCCTTGCTCTTTGTGAGAAATCTGAGTCTGGCCTATTTTACGAGCCCCGCACCCAAGGCAACAAAGTCAAACAAGGGGAAGGCTATCACCACCAGTATCCACTCACCTAATTGCCAACGAGGCGTGTTTGTTCAGCATTCTTAATGTACTGCTTGGCAGCTTACACGCACCCTTGTGCCCTACTTTACATTTGAAGCTGTGCTAGGTTCCTCAGCCGTATGCATTCAAGAAGGATCTCTTGTCTTTGCATGCGCAACGGAACAAATCCAGCGACCAAGGGCTGCCTTCACGGCCATTCCTGGCAAACAGTTGCCTTCATGATGCTGAGAGATCCAGCCGGTGGCCGTTGTTTCAGCTGACCAGCTTACCTTTCCGACAAGGATGCTGAAGGAAGCTCTATGTATATATATAGCGCTTTTTGGAAAGGAACTCCTCTTTCTTTGACAACCCCCTGCCTCACATGGGTTTCTCTTAGAAAGGGAAAATCCTCCAAACAGGTGGTTTCGCATTGTTTCTCAGTTGTTCAGTGACCCTGGACAAAAAGAGGAACCCTTTTAAGGGAAGACCATTTTTAGTGGGGCAGCCACCAAAAAACAGTTGGAAAAAGAATTGGCGCCACTGAACAACTGAGGTTTTCGCCCGAAACGCCACAACCGAGCAAAACGCAAAACACCCGAAGCCAGCTGGAGCTCGCATGTCAGCGCAGGCCTCCCTGTTGCCCCCCTGGAACCTAAACGAAACTCACCTCTGGGGCCAAAGAATTTTGGTCATGTTCAAAATGTTTAAAAAGGATATAGGGAACCCTCTACCATGGACCAGCCATGCTGAAATCTATGGAACCCCTGTTTGGCGCCACTTCATTGTGTGCAGTCGCCGTATCTCAATCTCCTGAACGTTTTCTCCCAAGGCTCTCGCCACAGAAACCAAAGCATATTACGTAACCATCGCACCCATCAACATACCTTCAGCAGTACTTCACAGAAAGCCAACTAAGAGCTGGTCAATGTTTCACTCAGAGCATTACTGGACGTATCTTCAATAGGTAACCATCGCATGTGTTCCTCAGCTGAAACGCTGCGGCGATCTCAGTGCAACCCAAGCGCCTGTGCATGGCTGCCTTGAAATTCTCGTGGCAGGGCAGGTAGAGGCCGTACTTCTTGCTGAGGGGTCGGCACTTGCTGAAGTGCTCCCACGCAGCTCCTTGCCTGAGACGAAAGGGCCAACCCACCACGAAAGAGGCTGCCCAAAACGGCTATAACGTGCATGAATGCACCCAGGGGTATGTTGAAGCTCATCTGGAGGATACCGCCTTCTAGTTGGTTATTGACTTAAGCCTTTCAAAGCTTAGACGTGACCTACTGGGATGGTGGCCAATTGAAGCCAAGGTCAGCACTCGGGCACAACGTATCTGCGATAGCATTGACCAGCAGATGTCTCTTCATACAATCGGGGTCCTCACCACTCCCACGCCTGAGCATTCCTCTACCAGTGTGCTTTGGATAAAGATCACGACCTGTATCCTCCAGCCCAATGAGTCCCGTGCTTCCAAAGTTGTTGATTTGTTGTTCCTGCTTTGCCAAAAACGCGCTTTCCGGTGGGACATTGCACGCAGAGACACACCATCGCACTCGGAAAGCGAAGTTCGCCCGCCTCGCGTGTTTTTGCACAGCAGTTCTTTCTTCGGCGAACCGCTAGCCCTTGCGCGAAGCGGCAAACACCACAGTCTTGTTGCCAATGGGTCAAAATGCATGTCCTGTCACATCCTGTAACCCAAAGAAAGACGTGCACGGGTTCACCCAGCATGGGGTAAGCAATCTGTCCAAACGATGCAAGCAAAACCTAAACCTGCAGAACACTCGAAGCAAGCGTACTGTCTAAATTAGGAACAACTCCCGGCAGACAATTCATCAAGGAAAGAACGCCATCAAAACACACAAGCATACCCATGAGGCACACACACAAACATGCCCACACATGCGCACAACAAATGCTGCAAAAACCTGAGTGGCGCAACCCTCGTGCCAAATCCTATCTCGCTTGGAACCCTGAAAGGCTCCACTGCCCCAGAGCCTCGCAAGGAGAGCCATTAAAAAGCAGACCCAACCCTGAAAGGCGCTACTGATTCCAGAGCCTCGCAAGAAAGAGCCATTAAAAAAACAAAAACGTTTTGTGCGCAAAGGGCCATTTAGAAAACAACGTGTATTGCAATTTGTACCTGCTCCAAGGGCCAATTGACCCAAGAGCCATGAATCCATGAACCTGGCCATGGACCGGCTCAGCTGCCTCTGCCTTGGGCCCCCGGCTGGCTCTGCTCTAAGTCCCGGCGCGCGATGGCCAGGTCCGTGTAGCCTGGGGAAAGGAGTGCCGTTGCTGCACTCCCCACGTTGGTTTAACACAAGTCTATGCAAAGCTTCCTCAAGCTAAACCCTTCGAAGCTTCCTCAAGCCAAGCTTCCGCAACTGCAGTCCCACTGACATTTTTGCCAGGATAATACCCACCAACTCTCTACTGACAAGTAAACGCAAGCAGCTTGTGTGACACATGTAGTTACCTTCTCGGTTGCTTAAGTAGAATCACTCGGATATAAGTGGGCCCTGAAAGATGTCAGTGGACAGTTTATCACTATCAATCTATTCTCCGAGAAGGGAGTCGCTTCTGCCAACATGCGATGAGTAATTAGATGGCAAAGTAGATCTTTGTTGCCCACCCCCCTGGCTCCCTGCAAGGCACTATCAGGGCTGCGAATTGATCGTCTCTCCACAAACTCCTCTCCCACAAACTCGGTAAGAACCCAAGATATCTAAGATATGTATTTGCGCAATGGAACATCCTTGTATCAGGTAACCCCTAAATGGTGGCTTGGATTTGTGGTTTGGCTCCGTGTTCTAGAGGGTAAATGGGAAACCACCGGCGCTCCAAACCACCAATTGGAAAGAAGCTGATTCCCCACATCGACCCAAGGGGTGTCCAAGGGCCAACATGATTCAGACATGGGAACCCCGTGTCTTCAATCCAACCTGGACCGACCCATAGACCGCATTCAGAACACGTGGCCAAATAAACGGCACAAACTGGGGTCGGGCGGTAAAAAACAAAAACATGATGCCCCGCTTTGTCCCACCTTTGGCCCAGTAGCTCTCTCGCAGCTGCCGCAGGGACTCCGAAATCTGGTCCTTCGCCAACTCGAATCGGTGCCTTAACACGTCGCTCGGGAAGATGTGCGTTTTGGATGGAGCCGAGACCATGTCTGGTGGGCGAACGGGGAGGGATTTGGAGGCACGACTAGTGTACCAATGGTATAAGATTGTTGTTGAGCAAGTGTTTTTCCTTTCAATGACAAAAGTGGACAACTTCTTCCTCCATTAAGAACCCCTTTCTGGATAAGATGATTGAAAAGACACCTGAAACAAGCCAACTGGTTTTGGTCGTGCCCTATTCCAGGACATGCCCATCCCATAGTGAACACAGCCACTTTTGCTGCTCATCCTAGGCTCCAACCAATTGCACACATGTACCATCGACCACTACAACTAGTTCTGCTTTCTTGGGCAGTGACAAACAACGCAGCCTTCACCTGTTGCGAGTATCGCATCCCCAGGCCTAGGTATGAAGCAATCTAAGTATTGGGCATCATGATGCTTCACGCCTCCTGCTCAAACGGGTGTGTCTCAACATCGGGGGACCCTCAAAACGTCGGCTTCCGTTTGGAGTCTTCTTAAAACCAACCCCGAAAAGGATACCCTCAAAAAAAGACGAACCCAACAAAAGCAACGCCAAGCCCGCTTTGGGTCTCAGCCGCATTCCCTCTGCAAACTCGCGCTCACCCATCGGCTTCTTGGAAAGCAGGGTGTGCGCCGTGTACTTGTCCAGGTTGAACCAGAAATCCTGGTGAGCCAGCTGTCGGGTAACCACTTATGGAAGACAGCCCCAAGCCCCTCCCAAGGTTTCGGATGAGACCATCCACAACATAGCCGGACTACGGGGTCCCGGCTCTATGGCGGGGGGGAGCTCTATGGGGGGCAAATCAGAGGCTAAAGTTGGGATCCCATCCAGTACGCCGCTTGGCAAACCTCTGGCTAGGACAGCCTGACGGGCAAAGTCCAAACAAGCAGATACACGCAATGGCTTTCTTCAATAGCACTCCATGTCCCAGCCTCTCATTGCAATAGCACAACTTAGCAGGCATATAAACAAGAAACTCAGGAGCCGCATCAGGGGCATTTCCATATTGTTTTGGTTGCACCACGCAACGGTGTCAAGGCGGACGGTGTTTCAACTGGCACCCAGAAACTACAACTTCACATTCACATCATTGTTTTGCATGCTTAGTGTGAGGGGGCGAGACCATGCACGGGTATGTGTCAAAACCGGGGGTGGGCGAAACATAGTTGTCCTTCTGGATTCCCCATAAACCAAGGTGAAGAGGGTTCAGCAACCAGCACTGCTACAAAAATTGGAATTGGCCCCCCATGGAAATCCCTGCCATCATCGTCCTTTCGTCTGATGTCCTTCCCTCTCGTGCCCCGGCCTTGTCTGCTTGATGCAGAGTGCTCTTCAGAACTGGTGGGTAGCTGCAGGAACAACCTCAGCTATGCAGGGTTCTTTGCCGTGCCCTGCGTCCCTGTTCAGCGTCCAAGACCAAAACATGGAAAGGACGCTGCAGCTGGGAAACCCTAGGTGCTCTAAACCCTCAGCCTCAATCGGTCCACTTCAGCACCAACGGGAAAGGAGCGGAAGGCTTAGAAGGTACGCTTGTCATCTGAGCCACTCCGAGCATTGCTTGTTCGCAAGGCCTGTTTGCGTGAAAGGCACTCATACAAAACCGTGTCCGCATGTCATATCATCAAAAATTTGATCGCAATTCATTTCTTGGCAATTCACAAAATTAGGTATATAAGCTGGCAAACAAAGGGCAACCATCATGTACCAATCCAGTACATTGTACAGACTACTGCCCAATGCATCACATGGAGCTGGCCCTTCAAGAGGAGTTTAAAGTAGTCAGCAAAGATCATTGTCTCCAGCCTCAATCTGCCAAACACGGCCTGCTCTGACAAACAAAAGTGCCGCGGAATGATTAACCAACGCTTCTGGAAGGCTGTGCTTCACACTCGCTTCATCTTCACATGCGACCAAAAGGAAAGAACAGGCCCGCTGCCGGGCAAATGAGCTTGGAGTATTTAACCGAAGCATGATTATGAAGGATACAGGTGTAGCTTGGCGAACATTGAGCACACCGGCAGGCCTGGCAGTTTCATAGCCACGTTTCCCGAAACACTCGGCATATTGAAAACTTGAGGCTTTGGGAAGTGAGTTGCAAAGTGAGTTGCGAAGGGGATCAAATGAAAATGAAGCCAACATGGAGCCGGCCATGGCGGGGTCCCCTGTGACGCCCCAGAGGAACACTGGTTCTGCACCAGCTCGCCTCCAACTCGGGTGAATCCAGTGGCGCAGGAAGTTCAGTGATGTAGCAACGCCGCATGGAAAGGGAGCTCCCTTTACGCGAATTGGAGAAGAATCCCTCGTGCCCGAATCGTCACGCTACAGGAGTCAACACAATGAACGACGGTCAGCTTAGTAGAACACTCAAGCGGCACACCGCTGCCTCGCCCGATGTGGGCAAGTGGTTTCTCTTTAGACCACCCCAAAAAGGGTACTCTAGCTAAACAACACCCCCCCCCCATGTGTTTAACTTGCATATTGCTTTCCGCGGTACGAATCTCAATGGATCATGCACAGCTCATTGCTTGGCCCACATCTGGGGTACACAGCGACAGAATCAATTAGTTTGGAGGTCCCATATAGGGCCGACTGTCTACGTATGACTAAGATGTCATGTGGTCGTGGAATTCCATAATTCAATCATTTAGGTGGGGATTCATGTCCACCAATCATTTGTGCGGTCAATTAATTGGCAATCAAAGTTCATAGCCAGAGGTTCAACAGTGTTGTCCTGTTCCTCCACTACTTGCAAAAAGTCTCATGATTTCCGCGGTTCACGCTTACCTGAAAGTATTCAACACTCAGAGCGCACTCAACAACAGCGAAGGTCTTTCCTGTATTTCACCATTCCCCCATCTTTCAGGTGTTAAACCAAAGCATGATACGCCTCATGACCCTAAAAATCAGACATACCAAACATTTGAAACAAGAAAACAACTAGGTCCTCCAGTAGAGAGGTTAGAATAAGGGTACTGCTTTTTTCTGTAGTCGATTTTAGTAGGGGAACCCTCCCCAAAAAAAGGGTTAAAGGGGCACTACCGGGGGACCTAGACAACAAAACGACCGTCGTGTGGCGCGAGTGGCTGGATCCCACAGTGTCCACGCCGGGAATGTCGCCCCCAGGGTCTTCCGCCAGCGGGTCGACCTGGTCGCTGAGGTGTGTCTGAAGTAGGAGTATTTGGGTTTGTCTCAAAATATGGGAACCATCAAAAAGGGTGGTTTCTGTTGGTTTTCCGTGCAACCAATCCCAAAACGGGTACCCTCACAAAGGGCGACACATTCATTCGGACCACCATCCCTTTCGAACATTCGAAATCCCACAATCTTTGGGGATCCCAGTAAAAGGTATCTGTGGTTTGGGATTCCCTGTAAAAACACTCCAAAGCCCCGACTCCCTTGAACGCAACTAGGGCATTGGGAGTGGGGGTGCTTCAGGGTCTTGCAACCATACCTAGAAGCACGGTAGGCTGATTCAGCGAAGCCAAGATTCTTGGAAAACAGGGAATGTACACATAATCTGGGATCATGAGATGTCATGCTTGGAGCTGGCACCCGGCTTCATCCGGTTGCCATGGCTCTTTGGGTCAAACGAGTGCGGCCAACTTGGCTAACAAGACAAGGAACGACCTTCTACACCCAAAGGGTTTCCTACATCCAACATCTGAGCATGTCAATGCGATGCCGATGATTTGTTGCCAACTCCCGGAGCCCATCTTGAAAGAGGTCTCTTCCCGAGCAATGGGGGGTTCTAGGGTTTGGAAAAGTCATTGAATTGTCTGTCCTCTTCAATTGACAACTATTAATATAGAATACAAATCATAAGCCAAAGGAACAGTCTTACAATACAATATGTTTTTTTAGCAATATGAATATTACCCATACATCGTCCAACAAAATCTTCGGGTATAATACCTGTCCTCGTCAAACATCATCCCAGAAACTTGACGTTTATTCCGGGCTTTCCGAAACAAGATGCTAAACACAACCATCCTCTTCGAAAATGTGCCCACTGGACAAAGGCGCAAAAAAAGAACACGGCCTCGGCCGCGATTTCGTGAACTTAAGAAATTGGCTGACTCCGGTCCATAATTAGTTGGCGAAGCCTACAATTTAAACATGAGGGTCTGTCTTTTTGTTGAGGCCCCTTTTTGGTGGTCTTAAAGGGAATCCGGAGGCAACATCACCTTTTTTTGGGGCCCCTTGAAAAAAGAACACACACCCATGTAGAACGAAACAATTCCACAAGTTCCCACTGCTCTGGCGGATGCCTCCTCATGATGCTCCACGCTGCCGAAGAGATGTGACAGCGCCTGCTGTCTGAAAAGGGCCCCAAACCAGCTGTCGCCTTCCTTAAGGGAGCAAAAGCCAGATATGCCCAAAAAGTGGAGGCAACAAAAACGGGGATGCTAGGCATGCAATGCATGGGGCTATTCAAAGAATTGGCAGAAAGGAGCTGGACAGGCGGCGGAATATGATGGGGCATAGGATACCCTCAGCCCAAGGCGAACCACAAGCAAGCTGCGAAATTGAAGAGCGCGGGACCTTTCTGTTGGCAGCTGACAACTGCTTAGAACCTAGTTTTTGCTTGTGAGGGGCGCAGCAAGGATGTCTAGTACAAATCAAAACATTATGCTCGTCAGGGCAATACTTGTCAGAATCCGTCGGAGTAGACGCAGTCCATGGGACGGATCGAATCAAGTTGACTTCGAACCTCTATTGCCCACTCAAAGCACACCACATCAGCGTAGTGTATGCATTACAAGTGGGTCATAGACGGCCTAAATTAGATTGCTGGCTCTCAGCGGGGAATAAGGGAATGAGCCCTTTGAACCATCCTTATGGCTTTTAAGGGAATCTCCAGGCGAATCCCGGCTTCAGTTCATTCCCAACACCCGGAAGGGTCCTTCCCGATCGTTGACCTGGGACGGATGAGTTCCTTTGGACCAAGGCTCTGCCATTGAGTGGCATTCGAACTGACGGGCTCGCAATCAAAAGCAAAAGCTGGGTGACTCATGAGTCACACTTCCAGGCACCATTGGATGTGAGAGGCGCTGGGCAACTGAATCCCAAAGTCCCCTTTGCCTGAATTCGTGTGGCCCTTGATGTGGAAACGGGCTCCCAAGCTTCATTAATTACTCATCATATCTTGTGCCCCTTACGTGAGGCCTGACAACAACTCAAGAGAGATTATGAGCAGGTCATCTCACGGAACTACCAGCGACTTGGGATCGATGTTGGCAGTGACTTGATTTACATCTTCTGACTCCGAAAAAGTACTTCAAGGCATCGCATGCATGGCCGTGGCTGACAAGAACAACCAGTCCCAAATCCTGCTACGTGGCATGCATCAAATCGCTGCAAGGCTAGTGCGTCTGGATACATAGCAGTGATAAATGCTTGTCAGGAAGCTGAGAAAGGCATGAATAGTGATGAAGCAAGCGAGCCACAACTCGCAAACACAGAGTACCCACGAGTAGGACACATCCATTTGAGCTTCGCAATAACCGACGTCGACAAACAGCATACTCATCAGTCATCAGTGACCGTCATCTTGGAATATTCAGCCTGCCCCATCACGGAGACGATCAGCTAAGGATACATAGCACCAGATGAACGCACGACAAGTGTTTTGTCTGCAAAACAATTCCGTGGCAGGGGTCAAATGATGCGCCGGTTCTCACAGCTTAAACGACGTCGGCATCTGGCTGAAGCCAAAATACAAGGCAAGCAGATTCGGAGGCTTGGCGAGAACGGTGGCTGCTTCAACCCAGCGACATATGCGCTTTGGGACCAGTTCTATGAGCGACCATCTGAAGGGGGCTTCTCTTTGGCCATTCTGAGAAAATATATTAGTTGAATGTCCAAAGTCATATTGTTCCCTCCATGACCACCCCATACTACGTAATGCCAACATCTAAGACATATCAATATCACATTCTGAATTGTTTGTCAGCTTTTCAAGTGGTTTGCTGCTGCAGCACGTTCGCCGGGCACATGATAGTTCGGTTGCAATCTACTCATCTTTGTTTACCCATGCTGTTCCCACACATGGACGTCCTCCTTCAAATGCACGTGTTTTGCAGCTAGGAGATAAGTCTGCTGAAGGATAAACCTCATTGGTCATGGAAGTACTATGTACATACTGCTTGGCAACGTGTGGCACTGTGGCACCCGTCGAATTTTCTGCGACAATGCAAGGATGACAATGAACGTAGCCATATAGATACGCACCGCTTGCAAGCCAAACACGCGTCATGCCACTGTACACACTCATAAGCCGATGCAAACATCATGCTCGCAAAGGTAGTCTGCTGTTTGTCACATAGTGTCTAACCACAAAATATTCGAACTCCTGGACTAATGAGACAACCACGTTGGCTGTCGTCGGGCGCTGTGCTGTTTTGCGGAAAGCACCTTTCTTCTTGTGCAAGACATGTAAACGTGAAAAGGGAGGCGCTGGTCACGTGCCTGTTGCGTGCACTGGTGAGAACCTACGGTAGAAGGCACGATGCTTTGCATCATGCATTCAGACACTAGACAGTGCACGTTGTAAAGACGTGCAGCAATAAAAGACTCGTGCAACTAAGTGGTATCTTTACACGGATTTCTCCGTACTGGAAGAGTCTGTGGTACCCGTCTGTGGTACCCGTCCGTGGCATGAGTGGTAAATCAGTGTCAGTCAAACAAAACAAAACTACTTGACAAACTTATATATTGCACCAGCCTGCAACACGTGAAGTCCAACAAGAAGGCATCCCTCATGATCTGTCATAGGTGTGGTTCTTGACCGCCCTGACAAGGTCGTTAGAACATGCTCAGATCGAGGGGTGAACAAACTCAGATTATGCCTTGTAGCAGGGCTAGCGTTTTCAAGCTTTTCCACTTACAAACATCTCAGAGCTGCAAATCGAGTGCCAAGCATCTCTACCCGTCGCACTGCAAGTCTGACTAACTAGTCATTGATGAAATGCCGCGCATTGCTTCTTAGATTCTAGGTCCTCCAGTAGAGAGGTTAGAATAATGGTACCCTTTTTTTCTGTAGTCTATTTTTAGTAGGGGAATCCCTCCCAACCAAGAAAGTTGGTGAGACAGGGCACTGCTGGGGGACCTAGAAAAGGAACTCCTTTGGCAATTCCTTCAAAGAGCCGGTGGGGTGGGGTGGCGGTTGGAACTATCTCTCCAGGAATTGCTGCAACCTCCAGGATTCAGAGCCTGGTACCTGCTTTTGGTAGGGGAACCCTCCCCCCAACAAAGAAACGGAAAATGGGCACCTAGGCTGGGGGGGCCTAGGATTTCTTCAATCTGGGCTTCAACCCCCTGAAAAGCATGGCAAGGACCCAATTTGGATGAAATTCCTCAGGTCAATAACGGCGTTCTATGAGCCTTGTACCCAGGCTCCCCTAACGCATTTCCCCGCGATCAGCCGCTCAGCCGCTCAGCAGCTCAGCGGGCCACGAAGAGCGTAGCGCTGGGTGCCAAGCCGGCGGCCTGATGGCCATATCGAAGCAGCAACTCAGATGAGATGCCCAGTGGATTTCCACTGGAAAAAAACAAAAAAGGAAACAAGGCGCCCGCTTTTTTTTGGGTTTGGTGGGTTTAAAGGTGGAACCTTACCCAAAAAAAGTTGCAAAAAAGGGCAGCCCTTTTTGGTTTTTTGCAAGCGCACTAAAAACCTGGTCGGCTGACCCAAGCTGCCATCTACCTTACACTTCACCACTCACCTTGCGAATGCTGGGCTTCATATGATAAACTGGCCAAGGCAGGGCCCGTGGCATCAAGGCAGGGCCAAGACGGGCGACCGATCAAACCCAAGACGACCGACAAAACAAACAGCGGATCCTGCGAGGTTACCTCTGGTCATCCAGATGGCAAAAAATGAAAAATGCATTTCTTAGTCCTCCCCCTCCCCCCCTCCCCCCCTTCCACCCCTCACCCCCCCCTCTGTCAAGGATTGCGCGACCTTCTGCCGTTCAATTGCATGCGCGTTTTTCGATGAAGAGGAGAAGGACCCAGAACACAGCAAGGGATGTGTCCTGCAAACTTAGCTTGCAAGCTGCTCCAGCAAAAACCAGTAACTCAAAGAAGAATAGTAAAGATACAACACCACAAGCAAGGAATGGGTCCATGTACAAGAAACGCACACCTCTGCTTGGCTTACTCCAAATGGAAATCGACATGACACTGTGTTTCGCCTCGATGGTCTGCTCGCTGTCGGGGTAGGTCCGGGGAGGGAAGGCCGTCCTAAAGGAATGTGAGGATGGCGACATCCGGGAATCAGCTTGAAATTGTCTTTTCTCTTGTTTCTTTTTTCTTTTCTGAAGAACAACTTGCAGGAAGCTAAGTTTATTCTGAAGAATAACTTGCACGAAACTGAACCAGAGTCCTATGAACGAAACAGCGGGCAGTGCGATTTGGAATGCACCCCGCATGCTGGGCAATGAGAAGCGCCCAACTCGCATCGACTTGTGATTCTAGCAAGAAGGTGTTTGTTCAATCAACGGCTTGCATAGGCCTTACTATCCCTCTCAACCCAGGTAGACAAACTTCCTACATGGAAACAGGGATTGCAGTCTTCAGTGATGCTCCGAGATGGAGAGCTGAAGCTGAAATTGAGAAGTTCGCATCCTGTTGCTTAAGGCCAAAGCTACAAGAGGCATTTGTTGACGCACGCTTGGAACGAGGTTTAGCCTTTGCAGCAGTGAACTCAATATAGGACACGTGTCCTGACTGTTTTCTGGCACTAAGTCTGGGTGACTTGAAAAGATGCAGGGTGGAGCACTGAACAATCTCATCAGGGCGATTATGCAAAAATATATCTGACAGGTAGTGGCTTCAACCACTTTCACTAAAGGTACCATTTTTTGGGTAGAAAAGTGGCCAAAGGCAAAGCTTGAAGCAAGAGCATGTCGACAGCGTCAGGCCCCTTTCATCGCTTCGAAGCCAAGTGGGGGCTCTTACTTGCCCGCCATCCATATCCATGGGCCACACAACACTTTCTTGTGTGTGTGTCTTTTGTTTTGGGGGGGGGCAGACACGGAGAGGACTGCAATGAGAAAACCCCGCCCAAAAGAAGACGAACACAAACAACGCACACCACAACATGTGAATTTCCCCTTTCTAGCCGGGTGTAAAGGGACACACAATCCAAAAAGTGGTGTAAAGGGACCAACCCAAAAAGTGGCAAACAAAAAGAAGACACGGACAAGAACTCCCGCTCAGTGTGAGTGCCGGTCCTCAAGTGGCAGCCATCCAAGCCGGCGAGGCCCTGGTCTTTGCACCAGCGCTCCACTGCTTCCTGCGACGCCAACGCATACGTGCCGCTAAAACAATGGACCCTATCCCCCAAAACAACAGGGGGATAAAAGAAGATTGCGGAGGCAATAGGTGCTTGAGCATGTCCAGGCACAATTTCGGATTTTGGGAGGTGCCTTCTTGAAACATCGTTGCGTGAGCGAATGCCCCTTTTCAAATACAGACCTGGATGTTCAGAGAAATCCCGTCAACTCGTTGCAATCAGTGACTGCTTTCAGCCTCCATATTATGTTTTTTGTTTGTGCAAGGCAAAGCAGTCGCGCAAAGCAAGTGATTAGATCATGTGTCGTCCAGAACTGGGCCCATTTTAGTAAGACGTCCCCACCATGACCCTCTAATGGTCAGGAAACACAGCCAACGCTACATTTGAGAACTCCTCAAATGCTCACTTTTAGGGACCATCGAAAAGCTCCGCAGGGATGGCACAGAGTTCCCAAGAATGCAGCAGATTGCATTGGACATTGTTGACTGAGCTCCTTCACATGCGTTCACCTGAGCAAACGCTGTCAGAGGAAGCAACATGACACAGTTGCGAACCTCGCGACATCTGTGGCTTCACCTTTCACACTCATGAACGTGGGCAGGAAGTTGCTTTCATTCGAAGACCCAATGACGTGACCAACTTGCAGTTCCTTTGGCAAGCCACCAACAGGCAGTCCTGTGATGTTCATATCACTCGGCTGTACGACAAATGGAAAGACTAGTGAACTTAATCGAGGGCTTCACTCACTTGATCCAAGGCTTGCTTGCCCAGTGATCATGAGACAAAGCTAATCTTTGGCTAATCTTTGGTTGCTTCGTTATTTCATTTCAACCCGCCAAATGTTTACTTTACAAAAAGGACCAAACAAAGAAAAACCTTCAAGCACGAACCAAAAATATTTATGATTCCCTTGGAGTGCTGGCTGCTCCAAACAAAAATCGCCAGGAGGTGTTGGCTGACCCAGAAAAAACCACCAGGAGTGCTGGTTGACTCAGAATTAAGCACCAGGAGTGCTGGTTGACCTAGAAAAAAACACCAGGAGTGCTGGTTGACCCAGAAGAAACAACCAGGAGTGCTGGTTGACCCAGACAAAAATCACCAGGAGTGCAGAAAAAAAACGGAGTGCTGGTACCCAGAAAAAAAAGGGGAAAAAAAGGGAAAACAAAAAACGGAGTGCTGGTTGACACAGACAACAAAACCATCAGGAGTGCTGGTTGACCCAGAGAAAAAAAAAACACGCTAGGAGTGCTGGTTGACAAAGACAAAAAAAAGCAGGAGTGCTGGTTGACCTTGAAAAAAAAGAAAAAAAGCCAGGAGTGCTGGT